TTTTTTTTAGCTTTATCACACTGTGAACTGAAAGAACGCATAAAGTTATTTCAATTTTTTTTTCTTTTTAAAGGTTTGTTCCATGGCCTAAACTATGGTATATTTTGAAAAATGTTTCTTAGGCTGCTAAAAAGAATGTGTATCTTGTTCTATTGGATGGAACACTCTATAGATATCTGTTAGACCCACTGAATCACTTCAGTGAATAGGGTTCTATGCCATCAGCTTGTACTTCCACACGCTCCTCTATGCTGATGATTCTCAAATTTGTTCTTTTAGCCTTGCCTAAGAGCTCTTGGATAATCTTTTTGTTGTTTCTTTTTTTTCCATTATTACTGTCTGAATGTTCTAGGGCCCCTGTCTTCACATCCTGATATCCTTTCTTCTGATTCATCTTGCCTATTGCTGAGACTTTCAATTGAGTTTTTTTTGATGGAGGATTTCATTTCCAGGATTTGTTTGGTTCTTTTTCAGAACCTCTATTCTTTGCTGAAGTGAGCTTTCATATCTTGTATTATCTTTAATTCAGTCATTTACAGTACTGCCTCAGTTCACGAGCTTAATTTGTTCCTAGATTCTTGTCTGGAACCAAATTAATCACGAAGAACCAAATCAAATTTGTCCATAAGATTCATTGTAAATAAGGCGAATCTATTCCAAACCACATGTATACATTTTTTTAACCACAAAAATATGAAACAGAGTGTGGGTAAAGAAAAAAAAAAAGATTTTAATGATAGTATTTATATAAAAGAATAGGAGAGGGAAAGATGGAAGAGAAGGGATGGGAATAAGGAAACAACTGGAAAGTGAGACAAGATATAGGTAGACTGAATCCAATTAAATAGCAAAAATATAAAATTCAAAAATCCTTTGAAAAACTCTATGAGAAAACACTTAATATGGGAAAATCTAACAAAATAAGGTAAGACACTACTGAAGGAAAAGCCATAATTAACATTCACACATATTTTTTTTTTTTGGTACTGGGGATCAAACTCAGGACCCTTGTGCTTTCGAGGCAGGTGGCGGCACCACTGAGCTAAATCCCTGGCCCACATTCATACATATTTGAACACATACAAAAACTAAAAACAGAAAAACAATACAGTTCTGATATTCCTTTTTATGGGGCTATGTATACTGGAGACATTTAATTCTCCAAGATTTCTATTATCAGATGCCACCAGTTAAAAGGATGAATGAGATTTTTTTTTTTAAATCCAGAGTTCTTTTTATCTGCTTCTGTCCCAGCAGGGAAAGCTGCTTAGAGCAGGCTGGAAGGTAAGCTCTGCCTCTCAATGGTTACTGAAGAGTATCCTGGCTGGTAAGCCAGTGGTGAGATTGGCCCCACTCACTGACTCAGTCTCCTTGGTACCTGGGATTGAGGATGCCAGAAACGCTGGATGACTCACCGCGTCTCTCACAGGTATAGTCCTTGGGAAGTTCAGGCTGGGGGTCAACCCTATGCAATTTACCAGATCCTGCTCTTAGAGGATTGGTCAGTCAGTGCCTGCATGTGATTCGGTTCACTTTGAAAGGGAGATGGGGTGCAGAGTGTACATCTGAGAGGGAAGCCATAGGCGCCCAGCCTTCTGCTGGGTTCTACAGTGCCACTCTCAGACTCACTCCTTCCCTCTGCAAAAGGCTGAACCTCATGGTGTCTCGAAGTTCAAACCACCACTGTTTTCTACTTCCTGGTCCCTTACTTTTGGGTGTTTCCCTCTCTCTGGTTGAATGTACCCACCATCTGTCAGGTTTTGCACCATCTGGCTGTCCCCTTAAAACTTTCCTAGTCTGGAATTGAGTCTCCCACAAATCAGGAATGAGGGTACTTCCCCCAGTGCCATGATTTGAACTTTTCTATGTCATAGTATTCTCCTGGGACCAAGTTAACTATTAAGGTGGGTGCCACTGCATCCCTCAAAAGGAAGAATTGCTGTAACTAGAGATATTTTAAAATCCAGTTATTGTGATTGGAGTCCTTAGCTCTCCTGTGCCACTTACAGAGGCAGAGGAACCCCTCTTTGGATGGTGTCCCACCCTGTTCTGTTTATGTCCATCTCCTACTTATTCTGAGACAGAGGGAGGGGTTGCTTATCAAATGGCTTGTGGACCTGACACTATCTAAATCTGGATGATAATGCTGGGAATTATCACTCCTGTTCCTCTTCACATGGGTGAACTCAGTTCTTTCTACTTAGGGTATGTCATCTTTGTCCAGTAACAAAGTCTACACTCACAAGAATATGCTAGTTTTTCTCTTACCACTCTGTGGGAGAGGAAGTTTCCCTTCCCCACTGAGCAGTATTTTGTTCAGTGCCAGGCATGTAGCTTTAGTTACTTGTCTTTCTAAATATCAGAATTTTTGGGTTTGCCCAAAGCTTGCAAGCTTGCAAGCTCAAACTGTAATACAGTGCTTTCCTATAGCTGCCTTATTTCCTCACAGAGGCACATACCTGATGTTTTAGTGAGATTCCCAGAGCAGCTTGTGGGTGCTGCTTGCTTCTAGTCCATTTTCTAGCTCTCTAATTTTACTTTTTGTGTGTAAAAATAACTTATCAAAATTATTATATTTATGTTGCTTTGGTTATACAAAAATGTAGTAACATAGAAGAAATCTTTAAACATGCAGATCCGTTTTTGCAAAGACCTAGGTAGGGTTAAAGTAAAATCTGAAGCATAAAAACATAATACTTTAGGATAAAATAGTGTGAGAGATATGGCATGATAATATTAACTCAGGGACTGCAAAATTTCCAATAAAGAAACTGCATTTTAAAGCTGATGGTATTGAATATAAAACTATTATAATACTGAGGGGTAATGAATTCATTCTCTTCATGTAATGCTAACAGTTTTATTTAAAAATGTTAACATTTACAACACACCAGAAATTACAACTTTTTCAATTATTTAAAGTTATGGGAAAACTTTACATTGTCAATTTTAGAGTGAAAGAAGGTTTTTAATGTTTTCTTCCTCCAATGGGGTAAATAAAAAAAAGTTTAAAGACTACAGTACATATAGTATATATATGTAGTATATAATTTAGTGATATATGGTCATTAAAACTAGATGAAGCTATGTATACTGACAGAGAAAGAGGTTCAAGATGTTCAGTTTATTTTTAGGAAGTAAATTACAGTAAAGAATTTACAATGATTACATAACATGGCCAGGGATTTAGCTCAGTGGTTTCGACACCTGCTGCGCAAGCGCAAGGACCTGAGTTCAATCCCCAGTACCAAAAAAAACAAAAAAAAACAAAAAAAAAATTACATAACATACAAAATTATCATATGTATATATTTTCTTGTTTTTATGCAAGCATGCATTATAAAAATGAGAAAATTTTATGTATTATAAAATGAGAAAGTATAATCTATAATAATTGTACATGTACAGAAAAAGTTTAGAACAATAAACACTGAACTATTCTTAGTTTTTAATCACTAGGGAATGTGATTTGGGGAGAACATTTTGCATATTCTCCTTCCTATACTTTTTCTTGTATAGTGGAGGCTTCACACAGGTTTGTGTATGCTCCATCCTCAAGTGGAAAAATAAGATTGTCTTAGTCTCTTTCTCTCACAAACTCCCATGATACAGATGTCATCTCTGAGAGGGTTAAAGAAAGAATGACAGAATCTTTTTGTAAAATACCACCACTGCCAAGCACTAGAATGGATGTCCCAAGTTAAAAATCATTTAAATAATAGGACATACTCCAAGTGGGAAGTCTGATTCTGCCCATGAGAAAAAGGATTTTCAAGAACCCTGGTAGGAAAATGCAAAGCAGAGGATACATCTTCCATTTGTGTGCTCCAGGTGCTCAATCCGCCAGAACCACCTACTGCCCTCAGGAGTTCCCATGAGGTCACTAGAAGGGCAGAGATGCCCACCTCCTTTTTCCCAGCATAAGCTAAGGCACACAAAGTCTGCCATCTTGGACACCGACCTCTGCAAACAGCACCATTATTATCATACTATGATACAAAAGCTGAAGATGTGCGGAAAAAAAAGATACTGCTGTACACTAAAAACTTGGAATAACATCCCAAGGCCTCTTGTCATGAAGAACATCAAGGTGCTACATCAAATGAAACCCTCCAAGAGGTATTTTACTAAAAGGTCATCAAAAACTTGTGAACAAGTCTTTAAAATGGCAGTAAAGGACTGGGGATGTAGCTTAGTAGTAAAGCACTTGCCTACCATGCTAAAGGTCCTGGGTTCAACCCCAAGCACAACCAAAAAAATACCCAAACAAATGAAAAACTAAAACAGTAGGAAAAGTGCTGGGGATATAGCTTAATGGTAGATTGCTTGCCTAGCATGTATGAGTCCCTGAGTTTGATTCCTAGTACCACAAAATTAAAAAAAAAAAAGAAGGAAATGCAGGTTTTACACAGGTTTGTATAAGCTCCATTTTGTCATCCAAGTTACAATCCTCACTGTAACATTAAATGACACTCTGATTTGGGTAAGTGTCCCCCAAGGGCCCATATGAAAAGTCTTAGTCACCAATCTTTGGCACTACCAGGAAGTAGTGGAACCTTTCCGTAGTGTAATGGGAGAAAGTTTATTAGAGGCATGACCTTGAAGGAGATAACTGCAACCCCAGCTCCTTCCTCTCATTCTCTTTGCTCCCTGGATGCCATGAGGTGAGCAGCATACTCTGTCACGTGCTTTCACTATGATGTGCTGCCTCCCCAGGGGACCAAGAGCAACAGGGCCAACCAAGCACAGGCTGAAACCTCCAAAACTATGAGCCAAAATAAACCTTCTATAGTTTTATGTTGATTACCTTGGGCATTTTGTCACAGTAACAGAAAATTAACTACCATAAATGAGAATGCCAGTAAACTCTTTCTGCAGCACTAAGTAACCAGTGAATGTTATTAATGTCATTACTGTCATTTTGACAAACAGTGAACTCTCTATCCAGGATGACTCTTAAATATAACAGGCAATGGTTCTTAAGGGTGAATTTTACCTACCCAGGACCTCGTGTGCATCTACAGTCTTCTCTTCAATGAATGTGTTGTAGCACTCCAGTGCTGCCAGAAGCAGGTCCAGCCACTGCAGGGCTGCTCGAAGGCTGAAAGGCCCTTGCAAGTGGAAGAGGGTTGGCTGAGCAAGGATCCCTGAAAGCCGATCACAGCTGCTGCCTCCCCCCTCAAATGTGTTTATGAGAAAAGAAATATCTTCTTTCTTAATGATATCTCTCAACCATAAAGAAGGGGATTTGTTGCCTTAAAAAGAAACAAAATTAAAACATACATATTTTAAATAACTTCCATACAATTAATTTTCTTTGATTCAACTGTTGTGCCTAATTAAAAGTTCAAAATAATATGGGATAATCTTTACTATAGTACTGAAAACTTGTTCCACTGTAGTTACCACTGAAACAGTAACTCCACCAAAACCATTCTCCTCATTGCCCTGAGTTCGAGGTCAGTCTGGATTACACAGTGAATTCAAGGCCAGCCTAAACTACATAGCAAGACCTTGTCTCAAAAAAACAAAACAAAACAAAACAAAAAAACCACTCTCCTTGACTTCTATGTAGAGACAAGACCTCACTCTCTAGTTCGGGCTGGCCTTGAACTCACTATGGAGCCCAGGATGCTCTCAAACTTATGTCAAATCTCCCTGTTTCAGCCTCCCACGTGCTGGGATTATAGGCATGCACCACCTGGCCTGGCTCTTTAATTTCTTTAGACATTACAAAAGTAGATGGACATAACATGAAATAGCATTTAAAAAATATTTCCTTTTCAATATTAAATTCTTCTAAATGAAAAAAAATAGTTTGTATTGCTCCAAAATCTGTAGCTCTGAAAAGGTTAAATCATTCTGCCTCTATCAAAGTTAGAGAAGAAACCAAAACAATAAACAATGTGATGTATAAAGAAAAAAATATTTTCAGTATTAAGAGGAGAAAATAGGACTGGGTATAGCTCAGTGGTAGAGAACTTGCCTAACATGCCTAAGACCCTGGGTTCAATTTCCAGCACCACAAAAAAGAAAAAAATAAATAAAATTTTAAGAATAGGACATATTCCATTACTTTCACTAAGAAAAGCTAAAGAAAACATTGAGTGGAAAACAGTAAGTGCTAGCAATGGTGAAAGAGAAAGCATCAGAAGAAAGGAGACAGGCAGATCAAGACAGCAGGATAAGGGAACCTGGGCAAGAAGAGACACAGGTCCAGGTTACAGAAAAGCACACTCCAGCTCTCCCTCTCAGCCTCCTGCCACTTTATCATCTGTTTTGCACAGCACATTCATGCTGACTCTGGGTCTCAGCATTTAGAAAGCACCAGGAAGCCATGCCTCCCCAAGAGCCTGGCACATGGTAGGGACAACAGCTTACTAATCCAGGTGTTCACGTGCCCAAAAGCCCCACTACACAAAGACCTAAAGAGATGCCTAACATAATTCCTTATAAGCTAGTCGAGGAAAAGACACCAAAGAAGGAGAAAAGCAGGTATATTTTGGTAGGCCACAGAAGAGATATGACAAGGAAAGCTCATTAATTTTATATGAATTATATGTTGGCAGAAGGCCATAGCTCATCTACTACTTGGCATTTGGCTTAACAAAAACAATTCTGAGACAGCACCCTATTTATTTAGTTCAAAATATACAAGGTCCTTCTCTCACCATGTACTAAACTAAAATCAAAATGGATCAAAGAACTAAATGTTAGACCAGAAACAGCCTGCTGGATGACAAATATGTAAAACTCTTGAAGTTATAAGCATAGGCAAGAACTTTCTGAACAGAACCCCAGTTGCATATGGAGTCATATCAAATTAAAAAGCTTCTTCAAAGCAAAAGAAACAACAAATGAAGTGAAAAGACAAATGCAGAACAGGAAAAAATTTTGCCAGCAATACTTCAGACAAAAGACTCATGTCTCGAATATATAAACAACTCAAAAAAAAAAAAATTAGACCCCCCCCCCCACAGTAAAAGACCCATTAAAAATAGGCAAGTGAAATGAATAGACACTTTGCAGAAGAAGTACAAATGGTCAATAAATACATGAAGAAATGCTGACCACCACTAGCTATTAGGGAATGCAAATTAAAACAAAACTGAGATTCCATATTTCCTCTGAAAGAATGGCTATCATCAAGAAATTGAATAGTAACAAATGCTGGAGAGCCTGGGGAGGGGGGGAGGAACCCTTCTATACTGATGGTGGGAATGTAATCTAGTACAACCACTATGGAAATTAGTATGGAGAATCCTCAAAACACTGAAACTAAGAAATTCCATTCGACTCAGCTATTCATTCCTCTTCTAGGTATCTTCTCGAAAGAGTTAAAGACATCATATTACAGTAATATATGCATATCCATGTTTAAAGTAGCACAATAAATAATAGCTAGATCTTGGAAGCAGTCCATGTGTCCAAAAAAACATGGTATTTACACATAATGGAGTACTTCTCTGCCATAAAGAAAGATAAACTCGAGTCATCTGTAGGAAAAAAGATGCATCTTGAGATCATAATGTTAAGTGAAATAAATCAGATACACAAGTTTAAATATCACATTGTTTCTCTTTAAAAAATAATAGGAAGTAGGGAGATAGATCATTCACAAAGGAGAAACGGATCAGAGATGGAAGGGCAAGGAAAGATACAGAGGATGAAAAAAAGGAACTGGGATGTATTATGTACATATACCAACTCCACACAAGGAATGTAAACATTATGTACTGCAAATGTACAAAAAAAAAAAAAGAAAGAAAGAAGATCAAGAAATGAGGGAGGGAAGGGAAAAAGAATGAAAAGAGAATTAAGATGTGTTATGTACACATACCAACTTCCCACAAGGAATGTAAACATTATGTACTGTAATAATAAACTAAAATTTAAAAATATAAAGTGGCTCCCAAGCATTAAAAACAAAACAAGGTTCCTATTGTAGGCAACTGAGGAGCAACAGAAGCATCAAATGCCAGTGACACTGGTGCCCTCTGCTGGTTCAATCTTCACTGACTGACTTTACAGGGCTGCGAGAATGACATAACAAATTAAAAAACCTCTGTAAACTAAAAGTAGTAAGCAAATTTAAAATACAAATAACATTATTTAGCAATTCTCTAAATTAAACATACACATACATTTCATTTATATAAAATAATATAGTAGAAGAATTTGTATTATGAATTTATATTATATAATTACACAGAATGTACAGTATGAACACAGTTAAATATATTTATGCATAGTATTAGTATATATCATATAAAGTATAGTGCATGAAATACACAGTATAAACATCAGAACATATCCCAGAGTAGAACAAAATTTAGAATCTTTCTGAGTAACCCTAACTTCACCCCACATTCTGCCAAGCACTTAGTACCTTTCCTGATCAAAGGCATGTGCCACATCCAACTGTCTGCCTAGTGTATGGAAGCAGGGTCTGTCTAGCTCTGTCCTGGGAAACAGCTTCCTTACTGCAAAGCTATTAATCCCTAGTTCAGACTTAAGTGGAAAAAACATAAAATACATTTGTTCCTGACTAATTCAGTCATTATTTCAAGCATATAAGTATAGTTGAATGGTTTAATAAGAAATTCCTGAAAAATATAGTTCATTGCTTTTCTTTACTTTCACAATGACCTGGGATCATTCAGACTTAAGATTAGGGCAATTTCTTATTAGCTAAATACTGAAACAGAACTGTATTATTTCAATAAATTAGTATTTTGTGTCTTAGTTGAATACTGTGTTAACTGCAATGGTCACTCAACTCTTCTTTTTTTTTTTTTTTTGAGACAGGGTCTCCCTATGTAGTTCAGGTTGTCCCTGAACTCACTATGTAGCCCAGGCTGGACTGGAACTTGCAGCAATTCTCCTGCCTCAGCCTCCCAAGTGCTGGGATCACAGGCATGTGCCACCATGCCTGCAACTCTTTTTTTTTTTAAATGGGGTAAAAAAATCAAAACTGTAGTGCAGCAAAAAAGATACTAGAAAATACTAAATTTATTTCTGTGCAATCTAACATCAAAATAATACTTTTTAGTCATAATGTGTCATCTGTCACACAAATCTGAAATGGTATTAGACTTTTTTTTGAATTTGTTAGAAATATTATCTGTAACACTTATTTAAATAATAGAAAGATGGTGGATGTTTGTTTTTTTTGGTCTTACCTCAAAAGCTTAATCCATACATGTCTTTCTTCTGATAAACAACTTCAGAATAGCCTTTATCATTAGAAAGGTCATGTTTTTAATAAGTTTGCATCTCTACACTAACTCATCATTTCTTAGGATGTATGAAACAACATACCTGGCAGTAAAGGAACAAACTTATAAAAAAGTTCTATGGACTTGTGTCGACATTCTGTTTGGGGCCTTCCACAGTGAGCTAAAAGCCACCTAACCAAATCCGATAAACATAATGATGCTGAAGGTGGGAATCCTCTGCACAGAAAAAACACAATGTCATTTATACATTCTCCAATATTCAACATTTAGGTATGCAAGAGTCCAGAAATTACAAACTCAATTTTGTCACACTGATATGTGTACAAACCTCATTAAAATTCATTTTAAAGTATTATCGTTAGAATGAAATCAAAACATTATAGGTTAAATGGGCCTTAAAAGCTGCTAAGCTTCATTTTACTTTTCATCTGAGAAAAATCTTTAAAATGTTTCTTTACAGACTAGCACCAACTATTTTCATGTTTTCTTTTCAATGTCTCTCAGAACAAATGAGAGCTTAGAGTCTAAAGCAGTGCTTCTCAAGGTGTAGGCCCTGGACCAGCTATACCAGCATCATCTAGTTAAAAGCAAGTTCTCTGGCCCTAGCCCAGTCTTGACGCAGGAATCCTGAGGCTGCAGCCAAACAGTACATGTTTTAACTACATACATAAAATAGAATAGAAATTAGTATAGGTAAAATAAAATGTTTCGAACTAATTTTCAATTTGTATCTATTACTCCAAGATCAAATAACTTGTACCTTAAGCACATTTTTAAACATAAAGCTTTTTATCTCCTCTGGAAAAGTGACTTTTCATACTTCCACACATTGTTTTGTTCATTTTTTTGTTCCACATATCCATCCCAATTGTCCTCTATCAGCTAAGAATTTGTTTTATATTGAGGAAAAAAAAATGGAAAGGGAAACAGTATGACCTACCTTGGTAAACGTCGTTTTTTTGCTTTGTTTAAAGAAGGATGTTTCTTTTCAATGATGCGCCTTAGGTGATCAATAGCATCACAGCACTGTTGAACTGTACCTGTTTTTCAGGATCAAAAAGATTCCAACGAAAATATATAGCTGATTATCACTAACAAAGTAGTATCATAATTTTTGTTGGGCTAATTTTCTACTTAAAAATGTAATTTTACTTAGTTTTAATATTATCTCATCCCTCAAAATAAAAAATTTAAATACACTGCACATCCAAAAACAAAAACAAAACCCAGATTTAAGACTGCAGCACAGAATGACACATGCCTGTTCACATGTATATACACAGAGCAATGCTACACTCCACTAGAACCTGCACCACCATCGCTGTTGGGGGACAAAACGCAGCCTTACTGCACAGACTGGAGAAGAGAGAAACTTAGGCAATAAAAAAACCCCAGAGCCTGTGCACCTCAATTCAAGACTATTCTTATAGGGGTACAGGTTTCTTGACCTCCCCTTCTCCTAATGTAGGATAAACTATATTACAGTTTTAGAGTATAGCCACAATAGAAGGAAAACTAAACTAAGATGGTAAACTAACCTACAGAGGTCTAGAATTATTTAGAGAAGGAAGAAAGGATGCGTGGTGATCTATGCACCAAGAAAAAGGTTTTGCTTTTGATTTTAATGGTGCTGAGGATTGAATCCAGGGCCTGGCAAATGGCAATGATTTTGAAAAGAGTAAAGTTGCACTTGTAAGATAACAAAAATAAAATTTTTACTAGACCTATGGCTGTGTACTTAACAAAAATAACAAAATTAAAATTTAGGCTAAGCCAGAATAAAAATCTAGTCAATTTTTCCAGTAAAGGACTATCAGCATAAAGGATAATAGAGCTCAGCCTATCTTTTTAAAAATTAGAAATTCAAGGTCTAAGTAAGTGAAAGAAAAGTCCCGCCATCCATAACTATGTGACCAAATCCCTCACTGACATTCTGAGCCTGTGTCCCGACTATAGCAAGTGTTGGAACCAACAAAGATTTTTTAAAAGTCTAGCTCAAAAATTCTGTGAAGTTCCTACCAGCTTCTGGACAGAATTTAATTGTAAAGATTATCATTTTCACTCTCTTGGCTACTTTAGCACATTTCTGACTTAATGTCTTTTTTTTGGTACTGGGGATCGAACTCGGGTCCTTGCGCTTGAAAGGCAAGCGACGGAACCACTGAGCTAAATCCCCGGCCCAGTCCTTAATGTCTTTTTAATATTCCTTAATCATGACTGAAATAGGTTTATCACAATCTTATAGTGAAACCTACTTTATATTTCCTAAATTATCATAACCTCAGAGACATTGCCCACATTTCAGTGGTTACTATGCTCATATCTCTCCAGCTCTGTGAATCTGTACATTTTTATGTTTGTGTAGCCACAGTCACTGACTGGCTGCATTGGCCACCTGCCCTGGGCAGATCCCTCATCAACCAGCAGCCAAGATCTGTAGCCACTAGGGGAATATGGGGAGTCTTAGAGAACCAGAGCATGAAAAACTTTTATAAACTGGACCTAGGCACTGAAAGAGCATATCAGACTTACTTATGGGAGATGTGGAAAGAAGAAAACATATGAGAGAATCACCTGAGGTTTAACCCCTTTGTGGAACAGCTCTTCAGGCAAACAGAATCAACATGGAAACAGAGCAAGAGACACATACCTAAGGATTTCTCATCCGCATGTGCCAAGGCCAGACTTTCCATGTATATCACCAAAGCTTCAAACACAAACTGTTCTACCAGGGATTCTTCCTCCCTGCAAAATAAAGAATATTAAGTATCGCCTAAGAAAATACTAAGGCAGAAAGGATAAAGGAAATAAGAAATAGTATTAAAGAATGCAACCTCTAAATACAATTTTTTAAGGCTCAAAAGTTTTAAACATAAATCAACCTGAAACACTTCTCAAAGAACACTATTTTCAAGAGCAGATTAAAGCCTCATGCAGTATAAACCACAAGGCAGCACTGGCTTTTCTCCTGCCCCTCACCTTTCCTCCCCTTCCATCTGTGGGACTGTTCCTAGCAGAGAACCTTGGGACCACTGTTCCGACCACTTCATTAAAATTCAGGGTAGGGGGAAAGAGGTCTCATACCATACCCGTATTCTTTGAAAATACAAGAAATTTAAGTTTTCAGCCTACCTAAAATAAGTCAACATCAATAATACAGCCCTTAACTCTTTTATCTGGTACACATAAGTAGTTTATTCAATCAACATCTGTGGACTATCTTTTACAGTCACATGTAATAACATTTCAGTCAATGAGAGAACACATACATATACAACAGAGGTCCTGTAATCTTATATCCTCTTCATGGCATCCTTGTAACTCTCATGGTTTGTGTAAGTACACTCTACGATGTTCACACAATGACAAAATCACCTTAAGGCGCATTTCTCACAATGTTTCCTTGTCATTAAGTGACATGTGACTATATAGAGAAAGCTCAGGGGTGGATGCAGAGGATAGATCTCTCACTAGGAAATGTGCTCCTTAATGACACAGGACAGCAAATGATTAAGTACAAAACCATGGGTATAGGCACTAACTCTCACAGGAGTTCACAGAAAACCAAGAATTGAATGTTTGAGTAGAGTTTTCAGATCCTTCCCCCAGCAATGAGCACTTGGAAGCTGCATCATCCACTAGGAAGGACATATTGATGGAACAAAAGGAATAGAACAAGGGATGGAGGATAGGGAGGGATTACAAGAACTGGAAACTGGTATTTGCACTGGCAGGAGTATCATAATTCTTTTTAAATTTGACTCTCAAGAGGGGCAGGGCCTTTCAGAGTTCAATAAGCCTCACATATCCTCCAATATATTCTACCCTAAAAACAAAGTTGCCAATAAGCAAAACCAGTATGGACATGTAGATAGATGGGCAGGGACTACGGCAGAGGCATGTGGGCAGCTCTCTCAACCAACACACATGACTACATGGTTCCTTCAACCTGGACAAATAGTTCAAGTGATCCAGGCCCAAGTTCTCTGAGCCTGGTTTAGCATGACTGTGTGATTGAGGTTCCTATTCTATGTTCTGCCCAGATCAGTCAATAATGCTCATTTACTAACACGAGGTTTTTTTGGTTTTTTTTGGTACCAGGGATCAAACTCAGGACCTTGGACTTACAAAGCAGGCGCGGTGCCACTGAACTAAATTCCCAGCCCATCACAAGAGTATTTTGTTTTCACTTACTCCTGACAGAAAGGATGGGCACTATGAGCTGAAAGGCAGAAACTAAAGGATAACCACACCCTTAGAAGATATTTTCCTGGACATCAGGTGCTGGGTTGCTCCATAGCCATCTTTGGAGAGTGCAGCATGCTAGGACTACAGACCCTACAGAACCACCCTCCTCAAGGGGTCCTTGTGATCTCTCTGGGAGGTTGAAGGCAGTTTTCATTCAGCTTACAGACTCCCAGGGGCCTTCACCTAACAGTGGAAAGATTGTCCTTGCCTCATATGAGGCAAGCTTACACTTACTATCTGCTTTCCAAAATGAAAGAATATATTGTTAAGAGATACATGCATAAACAAAGCTATAAAGAAAAGAAAGAAGGAAGTGACGTGAAAGAATGAATACCTCTGGGAAGGAGAGGGGAGGTTTCTAGAATACTGGTAAGATCCTATTTTTCAACCTAGGGGTAGGGATGGAGAAACCTGTTATATTTTTATAAACTTTACACGTTTACATGGTTTTACAGGTTTCACAATTTAAAATAAAAAAAATACGGCTTCAAACTCTAGTCAGTACACACACACACACACAGATTCCCATCTTTTTTTTTTTGGTACCAGGAATCAAACATAGAGCCTTATGCATGCCACACATATTCTCTACCCCTGAGCAATACTCCCAGCTGTCTCCTATTATTTTTTTTTTGTATTAAATTCTTTTATTGGTACATTGTAGGTATACTCCTATTTTATTTTTAATACTCATCACCTCTTCTCTATCCCAGGTGCCACTTCCAGAGTAGCTATTTTAACCAAACAAAGTCAGATTCTCATTATCTGATCACTTAGTAATTATGTATCACTATTTAACACCACTAATTTCATTCATAAATTTTACATTTATTTTTGTTATTTATCATAACCCACCTTTCTATCTGAAATGTAACCATCCTGAAGGGCTAGATCTTTACATCTTCAGGATCTGGCATAAGGCCTGTCATTAATATTCTTAACAAGGGAAGCTGAGTGAATGAAGGAATGGACAAATGAACACCACCACCACCCTGACTCACTGATTGTCTTTTTTGGGACTTCTGAAATAGCCTCTTCACTGGTGTCTCACCTTTCCGTCTTATCCCACTCAAATCCATTCTCTATGCAGCTACCAGCAGGCAAATTTTAGGAAGAAATCTAACTGTGGTTCTCCATGTTCAAAGGACTCCATGATCTCACTGTTACTAGAGGTGACTTCCACTTGGCCATAGCAGCCAAAGCTCTACTTACCAGTTTCACTGCAGTTCCTTCCAAACCTCAGATACTATAGGCTGGGAATATCAAATGTCTTTATCACCTCAGATGCCATTCTTTTCTACTCTATACTCCTTTGATCTGAAATGCCTTGGCTGATTCCCACTCATCCTTTACATCCTATGTTTCAGAGGCCTTATCTAATCTTCAGACTACATTAAAGACTCTTCCTTTGTGCTCCCAAAAGACCCCATACACGTCTCTTTTGTTACATTTACAAAAATCCTGGGATATTATGCTTCTGTGACTTTAGTAATTTTTTTTCCATTAAGTTCATTGGTACATTTTAGGTATATATTATGATCACATTCATCACTGGGAATTTGCACCTGTACATGATATATCTTGGTTCTTGTTTTTTCCCTTTTCTCTTTCCTTCTTTTCCACCCATCCACCCCTCCATCCCTCCCTATTTACAAAAACTTTGTTTTGATTTTTTCCTTTTCTCATATTTTTTCCTTCCCTTCTTTGCTTTCCCCCACCCCGTCCTCAGTAATTTTAAGCTTCTTGGAGGCAAATTCAATTTTACTTCACTTTTAATCCTATGCACAGACTCCAAAATGTAATTACTAAATGCCTGATATAGAAATACACAAATAGAGTTAAATACCAAGCCACTTTTAAAAATCACCACTGAAAGTTTCAAGAGTGTCTTTCACACTCTTGCCTGTCACTTGGCTTACACACCTGAATTCTCTGTAGATGTTATTAAAAGCAAGTGAGGCTCCTAGCCTCTTGAAAGCATTAGGGTGAAGTGCAAAGCTGTACAGTCGTTTGAAAAGAGATTTGGTGTTTACTGGACTCTTTTCCTGCTGTTGTGGAGTTGTTTGCTTAATGGACCATTTAAGGAATTCTCGAATACATTGACCACAAAAATCTCTTAAAGTACTGTCGACAGGGTCCACGATTCCATCCTGAAATAAAACAAAGACAGCTTTATTTCACTTATTTTTAAATCTATCTTATTTTTATAACCATAAAATGGCAACTGAATGCCCTTCCTCAGCTTCTGAATATTACTGGCCTATGTTCTGAAAATTATTTATAGCACTAGATAAAAATATAAACAATAGAAAAACCAATCTGGTTGTCTAGAATGCAAACTCAAAATAATCTCTTCTGGCATATAGAAAATACCTATCTTCTAAATGAATTAATAAACTGAAAATCCATGGAAAAGGCAGAAAATAATGTGATATTTGAATATGTGCCTCAAAAGCATATGTTGGAAACTTATCTCTAAATTGATATGTAGATGGTATTTGAAGGTGGGACTTAGGAAAGTCATCAGAATTAAATAAAGTCATAAGGGTTGAGCCCCTATGACATTAACTGCCTTTATAAGGAGAGAAAAAGAGATCTGAGTTTGCATACTTCTGCATTCCCTTACCAGGTGGTGCCTCCACCATACTATGATGCAGTGAGAAGGCTTTCTTTCATCAGATGTTGACACCCTGACATTAGACTTCCCAGCCTCCAAAACAGTAAGACATAAATACGTTTTCTTTATAAATTACCCAGCCTATGGTACTGTTATAACAGCAGAAAACAGACTAAGATTTTATGTTTCAATAACAAAACAATCTTTTCCTTTCTTAAGAAACACAATGGCTGTGGGCCGGGGATTTAGCTCAGTGGTTTCGCCGCCTGCTGTGCAAGTGCAAGGACCCAAGTTCGATCCCCAGTACTACAAAAAAAAAAAAAAAAAAAAAAAAAAGAAACACAATGGCTGTATCCCAAGAATTTCTGAGGTTGCTGATTTTACCTCATAACAGTAGCAAAGGGCCGGGGATTTAGCTCAGTGGTTCTGCCGCCTGACTTGAAAGCACAAGGTCCCAAGTTCGATCTCCAGTACCAAAAAAAAAAACCAGTAGCAAAGAGCCTTATATATTGAGGTTAAGAGAGTAAGAATCTTGGAAATCCAAAGAAATTGCATTTCTACCTAAAGAAAAACCATATATAGGCGTTGTTCTGAAAATATAACTTCTTGAAAAAATAGTCCTTATGAACACATGGTCTCTAACACCTGAAGAAAACAGCCAAAGAAATGTAACTAACAATCTCTCAGAAAATTATTCTCCTTAATGTCTCTGTTTCACTCTAGTTGTACTCTCAGATTTATACAGGAAACGTTTAACTTGAAAAGGTCCACAAAACACTGAAATAAGTGGAAATTCTGCTTAACATCCCACTATATATATGTTAGAAATACCTGATTACAGTACTAATTAGAATTCAAGAAGGTAACATAAGCTACGGAAATGAGAAGGAGTGATATTTCCTGCTTCCTAGGAGCAGAGGTAAACACTGTGCAGTGGGTCCAGGTGTTTGTCCTCTCAAAACCCATGTTGAAACTTAATCCTCACAGTCATAGTAATGGTGTCTGGAGGTAAGGAAGGGGTTTTGGGAGGTAATAAGGATTAGATTAGGTCATGAAGGGAGGGTCCCATAATGGCATGAGTAGTTTTGTAGGAAGGGAGACCTCTTGCTCTCTTGCCATGTGATGCTTCTGCCATGCTATCATGTAGCAAAGTCCCTTATCAGATGCCAGCACTTTGATACTGAACTTCACAGCCTCTAGAACAGTGAGCTACATAAACTTCAGTTCTTTTTTTTTTTTTTTGGTACTGGGGATTAAGCCCAGGACCTTGTGCTTGTGAGGCAGGCATGGTGCCACTGAGCTAAATCCCCAGCCCTAAACTTCTGTTCTTTATAAATTACCCAATCTATAGCATTTGGCTATAGCAGCAGACAACAGACTAATGCATATCGCATGTGCTCACATTAGAGAAGTGGCAGTTCTTACTAAGACACTCACAGCTCCTTTCACTGGAGTGCTCTGCTACCAAGTTCACATTTTTCTCTATCTTTTCTTCCTCAATTATCTCATTTTACTTTATCATTATCTTGCCAGATATCTTTCCGAAGCCCTTACCTGAGCCACCTTTAAGGATCAAAAGGGGAAAACAAACAACAAAGAAGCTGCAGATCAGAGCCACTACAATAAATACATTTAAATACAAATAAGCCATAAACTAAATCTAATTAATATGTTTATTATAAACAAAATTCACTGGTAGACACCATAGGGAATTCAATAGGTATAATTATGGTCCTCATCCTAATTAAAAATGTTTAGGAGTGTAGGCTTTTGGTGATGAAGATGCTCACACTCCTGCTATTGGAGAAGCTGCAGTAAGCTGTGCTTGATGGAATGAAAGATATTTTCTGTGGTTAAAAAAAAAAATGTTTAGTAACTAACTCTCTACTGCCCATAACATGGTGTTTGATCTGGGTGACCCTGAGAGTGAAGGAAGTGCTACTAGTAATTGCCCTGGGAAAGCCAGGACATGTGGCAGCCCTTTGTGGTATAGAGAATCCTCTATTCTTTGTTCTCCCTCTTCTTTTCCTCCTCCTTTTGTCCCCTCCTCAATCTTTTTGAGACAGGGTCACACTACATAGTTCAGGTTGGCTTTGAAATATGTAGCCCAGGCTAGCCTCAAACTCACAGCAATCCTCTTGCCTCAGTCTCCTGAGTGCTGAGATTACAGGTGTGTGCTACCACACTTGGGTATTCTCTTATCCAATACCCTACCAACCTCACTTCAAACAATCAAAACTCAAAACAGGACCAAGTCCACAACAACCCACCACAAAGCTGATGCCTTCATTTCTTTTCCTTGGATACTCTTATCAACTTCCCTGTTTCCTGCAGCTCATCTCAAACTTAATAGAAAATGGAATACAGATCCATACTGAAAGCAATTTGTAAAAGCATGGAATTGGATGTTTAAACAAACTCACTGCATTTAACTGAAGCTTTTGATTCTAAAGTGAATATGTAATGAAATAAAATATTAGATTGAAATACAAGTAAAACCAAATAAGATAATATTTAAAAGAATCAAGTGTAAAGTTATTTGCACAAGTTCAAAATAAAATAAGAGTCAAAAGACATCCTGTAAGGCATAACACTGGGTTACAAAAACCCATCTCATACTTTTCTACTGTAAATTTATACTTTAGCATAATAGTAACTGGCTGTGCATCTCACTAGCTGTGGCTAGGGGATACAAGAAGGAATTTTTGTGTTTACTCACTTGGTATGACTAATGGCAAAGTGTATACACCTGTGTAAAAGTGTCAAACTGGGGTTTTTACCCACATAATGCTCCATCGAACAGTTTTTGTGTATGTATACCTGAGCATCATGGTGGGTAAAATACACCCCACACCATTCTTCTGTGACGTAAACATATACTTTACCATAATGCAATGTGGGTGTGGCTCACAATAGCTGGACATGGGGATAGCAGGAACCCATCTATGCATTCACTTACTTGGCAGACAAAAAAGCAAGGTGTGTATAGGAGCTCCAAAGCAGCAACAGGTGTGCATTTAGTATTTGTTTTTTAAAAAAGTTTTCTTTTGATTTTTCTGGTAAAAGAATAGCCCAATTCAGTACAATAGCACATGAAAAACCAGATTTGCAAGTTTTGGAAGAAGTCAAAAGTGAATCATCAGGTGCACAAATGATGATGATGGTCATATGGGCCAAAGCTCCTATGACAGTGAAATGGAGCAAGAACTGATCAATACAGACACATGGAATGAAGATTTCCCTGATTCAGATGATGAAGAAAATAGCAATGTCAGTACTTGAGATGTAGAAAATGGTCATGTAGCCAAATGAACAATTCAATGTTAGAACTATGTCCAAAAATATAGCGAGGATTTTGGCAGGGTTGAAATTTTAACAGACGAAATGCCAATGGATGTCGTGAAATACACAAATGATGAAATACAAGTAAAATGTTCTTATACACCAATAGTCATTCTTTAAAACGTGTTTATTATGACACCTCACTAGCTGAACTAAAAGCATTCATAGGTTTGCTATACTTAACAGGGCTTCCTCATGGTAATTGTAGGAATGTAAGACAGGTGTAGGCTTGAGGTTTGTAGAATAACAATGTCACTGAGGAGATATGGTTCCTTTTAAAAATGCCTGAGGTTTGCGGACAAAACCAAGAAGGAAAAAGAAATGATAATTTGGCTGCTATCCAATCACTGTTTGAAAGTTTTGTTTCAAAAGGTCAAGCAATTTACATACCATTTGAATATATGACTATTGATGAACATCTTGCAGCATTTCATGGTCACCGTAGCTTTAGGCAGTATATTAGGGTAGTACAGCCTTTGCAGTTCAAGGAAGGGAAGGGAAAAGAGTGACTCAGCTCCTTTGTTTCTAACTGTACTAAAATCTCAACAAACTTGAAGACTGAGATGGTAACTTTTTACAACAAGACCAAAGACAGAGTTATGCAGCAACTATGCTGCCACTCGAAACACAAAGCATTGGCCGACAGTTGTGTTTTACTCAATTCTAAATATGTGTGGCATAGTTTGATAGTTTATAAAGAAAACCACAAGTGCAAAATATCACAGAGAAATTTGTTGGAGGATTGGGACAGAAACTCACAGGTCATTTATAGCAGAGGAAGAACAAAATGTTTCTGCCCAGGGAACTACACAAAAAAACTGTGAAGCATACTGGTGAGCTGACAGGTGAACAAGTAGGTGCAATATTACAAAATCCTACCATGACAACAGGAAAACCAAAAAGATGTCAACTGGGCCCTACAAACAAGGACAGAAAAAGAAAACATATGTGCTATCAGTGTGATACTTACTTGGACATGGAACATGCAGTTGCCATGCATGAAGACTCCCTTGGGTGTGAGAGTTGAAGCAAAGATTATTTCTGTGGTAGACTTCTGTTTGTTATTTACATTGTACTTCATACAGGAATTTCTGTTGTTATTTTCTAGACTTTGTATGCCCAAAACAGTTGATGTTGGACATTTTGATGCTTTTTTATAAACATTCAAATATTAAAAATTTAATACTTTAAAAAATATTTTTCCTGTTAAGTACTCATTGTTTAATATAATAAAACTCATAAAATTTAAAAATCATTAATAGAAATACGGTAAAGAATAAATGTGGGTATTGTACACCCACAATGTGCCTTTAACACAAAATTGGCATTATTTCCCGCTAGAGGTTAGCTGACCTAACTCTGTCCTCAGTGAACAATGACCAAATCCTAACGACTCTGCCTCTATTATCTCAGTATAGTAATATGTAAAAGCTAAGCTGCTGTTTCTAGGTTGGGCCCTTTAGCTGTTGATGCAGGAGAAAACTGGACAGGGTCAAAAATTCCTTTTACTCTTAATTACTATCCTATGAGTATTAAAAAATAAATTATGATAACTCAGTAGAAGAACATCCTTATTCCTCACATCCTCAATACACATAAATACACACTTTTAATGTGGATAACACCTGTCAATTTACAAGCATCCTCAAAACAAAACAAAACCACACGTGAGCTAGTATTTATTTGCAGATATTTGAAAGTATCACTTAAGGAAATATGGCATATCCAATAAAATGGAATAATAAATACAACATAATAAGACAAAATGATCTTGCTAGAGGCTACATTTTGGTATCCTAACAGGTAACTTTTCCTAAAGTTCTAAATACACATTAAATATAATCAATCAATGAGAATGACAGGAAAAGAATCAACTATTACTCACCAATATGGCTTCTAGTAAGGCGACAGTATCCTGACTTTCAAATTTCTTATTATTAGTGAACCAGTGAATGAGCTGCATAACAAGTGGTTCATATAGTTGCCTTGTCACCTGAAGAAATAATACCACTGGAGTTTATTTCCTTCATGGTAAAGGAAATGAACACTGGAAATTAAATAATATTAAATGGCACTTGCAGTGGGACAAAATGAAACAAAATTATCACTACTCCTATTTTTCTAGTTCAATTCTATGATGAACTGTTCTTTCTAGCTGCCTCTCCAGTTTCTAAGAGTTCAGCAAAGAAAAATATGCATACTACAGTTCATTGTTCCTTTAATTAGGAAAGCAATTTAGGGTAGATATGGTTGGGTTTGGGGTTTTTTTGGTACCAGGGATCAAACTCAGGACCTTGTGTTTGACAGGCAGGCAGTAGAACCACTGAGCTAAATCCCCAGCCCAATGGTTGGGTTTTTTAATATTCATATTTATTAATTTGATCTTGAGTATTCACACAAGACATCCTGGGTTAGAGACAGATTATTGTTATTCATTTTACAAAGTAAATAATGCACTATAGGGTCGGGGATTTAGCTCAGTGGTTTTGCCGCCTGCTGCGCAAGGGCAAGGACCCAAGTTCGATCCCTGGTACCAAAAAAAAAGCACTATCGTTTACCACCAAGATAGACACCCTCATAACAAAACAAAAGCCAGATCAATATCCTATACATACAGACCTCAAAGCATGTGCCACAGGCAGAAAAACAAAAAAACAGTTTTAATCTGTTTATACAAAGGAAAGTCAGCTAGCTCTCCTAACACTACCTACTCCAACTACTGAGGAACAACTCATAACAATAAGCACATCCCGGTGTTGGGGGCCAAAGCACAAGATGCACTAGAGCTTCACACAGAGGATGATTTGGCTGTGAGATTCAGATAGATGTGTATCATTAAGATAATATTAAAGCTGGGCATGATGGCATATGCCTTGAATTCCAGAACTCTGGGAGGCTGAGGGAGAAGGATCTCAAGTTCGAGCCTAACATGAGCAGTTTAGTAACTTAGCAAGACTCTACCTCTAACTTTATAAAAGGCTAAGGATATAGCTCAATGAGAAGGGGTCTGGTTTCAGTCCCCAACAGGGCAAAACAAAACAAGGTACTATTAAACCATTCCTATTTACCAGCATTCTATGGAGAGGATCTATGGAGAGGGTCGGGACTCTTAAAATCTATTTTATGGTAAATTTTCAGTTTTAAGTATAAGTCCTACTTATTTATGGTGCATATTAACACCCTACTGGACTGCATTCATTCATATATACTGCAGAATTTTCCATCTGCATTTATTAAGTGAGCTTTGTGTTCCTTTTTTATGTGCATGCCTGATATTAGATTCATGCCTGCTTCGTAAGATAGACTGAGATTTCTGTTTTTCTGCTTCATAGCAGCACTGGAGGATTTGTCCATGAAGTCATCAGGCAATGTTGGCCATTTCTTCCATGCCTCCCAGCCAAGGAGAAGTCTTTTCCATTCCCTGAAAGACTGAGTCCATTCGTGAGTAGGGTAACAGGCAGTCCACTTAAGGATGCCTAGATTCTTGGTAGCCATAACCAGGACAGTGGTTCTCAACTCTGGATACATTATATTTCCAAGGAAGTTTTTTTAAAGTTCAGATCCCCAGGTCACACCCTAACTGATTAAATCAGAACATCTGGGAGTAGCAGCCAGGCAACAATATTAGTTTTTTTTAACTTTATTTTTTATTAGTTTATATTTGTCATAAATATTGATCACATTCATCATAGGGAATGGATGCACTTTAAGACCATACTTAGAAGTGCAATAAATCGGATACATATGGTTAAGTGTCTCATTGTTTCTCTTGTATGAGAAATCAAAAGCGTAAATAAGGACAATATTAGTTTTTAAAGACCTCTAGGTGATTCCAATGTGCAGCAAGGTCTGCTGGCCCCTGAAGGAGACCACACTCTAGGCTGAAATTGTTTCAGATCCAAAATCATGCACTCACCTGATCCACATCACATGCAAGGTGAAGCAGCACAGGAAAAGTGTGCTTATAGAGCCGGTACAGGGGTGGCAAACCCTGACCACCTTCAGGTATCTGAGTGGCTTTTCCCAACATAAACATGACCATGCTGTGTAACAGTTCACAAGCTGCCACCTAAAACGGGTCAGGAGTTTGACAAAGTTTAAGTTTTCATGTGCATAACAGAATATTTTAAAATGGTATTCAACTGAGCCCTTTAAGAAGAAAAACTCTTGCCACAGGTAATCCAAACATAAAATTGACTGGAAGCACTCCTTATCTAAAGTTAAGGTTTCTATTCACTTTCATCTGTATCTAAGAGTTAAGAATTGAAATGTAAAAGCTTTAGACACTGAGACTATTTATAAAAAATATATTTCAATGTTGCCACATTATAGAACTGTATAATCTTGCTTCACTTATAAGTGCATTTGCAACTATCACTTTTAATAAATATATTTTAAAGCACTTCAGATATTTACAAATTAAAATCTGAGATTTTATTTGTTGTATGTTTCTAAACTCCCAGTTTAAAAGGATAGTCAAACACTGAATATCTTTTAAATGCCTTTTTACTTCATTTTTCATTATAAAAAATGTTTGATATATTAATGCTTCGCCAGGTTAGTATCTATTAAAATAATTTATGTTCAACTTACACTTATTAATGGTAACAACTACTTTCTAGTTACGGAAAATACAAAATTAATGATATTAGAATAGCTAAAATATACTATTTCCTAACCAATACTATATATTTTAAAAGCAATAGATATAAATAATGAGTGAAAAATAAAAGTACTTTTGTTTGTCTATCACTAGTTGAAAGAGCCAATTCGGTGACTCGAGGCAAGAATACATCCAGATAAATGACAGGCTTCATCTCTCTGAAAGGCACTGCAAAACGGAGCCTTTTTTCTCTGTCCCACGCCACACATTTCTTCATCATTTCATCTGAGGATCCAGCTGACAAAGAAGAATTAGAAAAAGTGGTTTTCCCTTCAAAATCTTCCCAGTACCACTTGTTCTACCTCACATTACCTAAACTAGTGCTTTTAAACTTTTAAAAGCACTTTATTCATCGTTCCTTTTTAATCTGCAGTATATATGTAATTATAATATTAACACACTGATATACTATTTCTGAATTTAACTTAAGTAAAGTTATTTTCAAACTTAACAGTCTAGAATATTTAAATTCAATGAGAATTATTTAAAGGATTTTTCTGAAAAAATGGTAAAAGAATAATATTTATATTAAAATTCCCCCTTTTAAAATGCTTTCTAAGTACAGTTTCTACTTTCCTACATAACCAAGACTCATTAGTATATTTGTCAAATTGCAAAGTAAAAACAGACGAGTTTTTACTAATCAAAAATGTTAATTCTCATAAAAGCGATAAAAAAAATTCACATATTAAAAATACTGAGCTTTGTTTTAAATCCTGTATTATTCCAACAGCACAGGTATAGTCAAAGCACTTTACTAAGTGAAATACCTTACTCTCTATAACTCTTGAAAATATGTAACTTACCAACAGTAGTAAGCATCAGAAAATACTGTGATCTTTGTATATTCAAATTAAAATACAATTATACCTACAGAGATTAGTTTTAAGAGAAAAAGCTTACCCGTTACAAGGTTTTTGTTTATTTGTCCTCCTAGAGATCCAAGCATTTGTACTACTCTAATTCTTATTTCTTCTAAGGATACTGCTTCATTCTGTAAATTTGTACAATTATACATGTGATGACAGTTAAAAAGAGAAAAGGAATGAAAAACTATTTTACCACCTTCCCTACTGTTAATGTCTATACACAGTATGCTGTTCATTTTATTGCAAATTTATGAAAAAGTCGCATCTCTTTCAGTTTTGCAGTTGGGTATCTCTTTCCTAGGCCAGCAGTTCCAAACTTTTTGGGAAGATCCTTTACACTCATTAAATATCAAGGACTCCCCAAAGAGCTTTTGCTTGTATTAGTTGTGCTCATCAATATTTATTGTACTAGAAATTACAACTTAAGATTATTTATAGTTATTAAAAATACTCAACAAATTACATGTTAACAAATGATATACTTTTATGAAAATTAAATTTTCCTAACAAACAAAACCTCTCAGAAAGGTGGCCCTGTTTCACATTTGTGCAGATCCACAATTTGTGCAGATCCAGCTCACTGTGAGGTGTGTGGTGTGGGCTTCAACAGATGTGTAGCTGGGAGAGGAAAGAGCATTTTAATAGTCTTCTTAAAGAACGGTGTTTATTCTTTGATACTACACCAAAACTGAACTACTAGTTTCTAAAAGATTATTTACAATGTAAAAATCTGAAAGCTTATCATTGAACTTTATATACTACTCTATATGTTAAAATCCATCAGTTTATCTTGCAGTTTGAATGGATTTTTTTACCTATGTATGATTTGGTAATATAATGTATTACTCACCTGCAGTTGACAGTTCTCTAGATTTAAGTAGACCACCCAAATGCTGACATATTTCAATGTTTATGCAAAAAAATCATACTTGTTAGCATCATTGTTAATCTCATAGGGAAAATTTTTGAGAAGCTATAAAATTTTCTGTAATAGTTGTAAATTTTCCATAATTTTAATTTTTACTTAAAATTAAAGGCCTGACTTTTATCATTGGCAAAGACGTTTCAGATGTTTTCCTTTAAGTGACAGGTTCACTTTATTCACTTTAGAGAAAATGTCTCCCAAATATGTAACCCCGAATAACCAGTGTGTCTGTCAATTGTTTTTTCCAGTGAAAATGGTATCCTGGAAGAAGTAACAACTTTACCACACGGTTCAAAGTGCCGCCCCAGTGCACTCCCTCCAGGCAGCTTCCTGCCTCGCTGGGCAGCAGGCCTGCCTTATGCATGCCTCTTATTTCTTCAGAATACAAAACCTGTGCCCAGGGCAAGTGTCAATAAAATTCTAGAAAACCAACACCGTTGCCCACTATTATACCATGGTACAAATGTCAACAGAATGAAAGAAAAACTGCCCTTACACTCCAGAGTCCCAGCTATCCACAATTTGAGAATTGCCCTCCTAGGGAACAGGCATCATGGACTTGTAAAGAAATTTTACTTGTAAGACTTGAGATATGCTCAAGTAATTTATCCCACTTTATTTATATATAATAAAATCACTAAAAAATTTAGACAGCCATTTCTACTTTTATACATGTCTTTCTTTCAAAAGTTGGCAAAAAGAGGCAGGAAGAATTTACCCTGGAATTTTTATTAACAGTTTTCAACTGTAAGTTTTTTTAATTTTAATTTTTACTTCATACCAAAAATACTTTTCCCAAAATAAGTTCATTTTCTTCACTTATATCATTTTTCATATCATACCATACAGACAATCTCAAAAAAGCCAGTCCAGAAATCATCAGAAGCACATTCGTACACACACACACACACACACACACACACACACACACACACGGCATACATTGAACTTGACAAAAAGATGTATTTAAGAATGAATCAGGCCAGGTGTGGTGGTGCACACCTGTGATCCCAGGGATGTGCCACTATGCCCAGCTCATTAAATATAACTGATGGTAGGGATAAGCAGGAAAACAAGATCAAGACAATAAGCCAAACATTAATATAGTTTATATTTGATTGCTAAAAATATAACAAAATTATTTCTATATTGTACCCTAATTTATACTCAAAAACAATATTTTAATATTTCATATTTTAAATGAGGATTTTTTACTTTCTACAAGTGTTAGTGTCTAATGTCTGTAACAGTTAAGGTAAAGGAAATGTAAGATTTCTTACGGATGGAAGATGCTTGGTCTTTTTCAGATGCTTCAACACAACATTACTGAACCCTTTCTGTGCAGCCTGAGAAAGTGCTGACACTTCCCAGATGTTCTTGGTCTCATCTATTAGCAGGAAACAAAAATCAATTTTAAACAACACTCATTCTTATCTGATTAAAACTAGAAAGAATACATACTGCCAAACAGAAACATTAAAATCAGAATTTGAATTATATAAAAAAATTAAGTTTCTAGACTATAAAGTGTGATGGTTGTCTTGTTTTTAAACACCACTGACTTGTCTTGAGAAGAGCCTAGATTATCCATGGTGCCACACACCAGCTCTCACATCTTACAGCCAAATCTGTGATCATTTGAGCATTCAAATTAACTCACTGATGGGCCCGGGTTTTAGCTCAGTGGTTTTGCACCTGCTGCACAAGCACAAGGACCCAAGTTCGATCCCCGGTACCAAAAAAATAAAAATAAAATAAAAAACAAATTAATTTGCTGAAAAATAAGAATCTGTCTCAATTGACAGATAAGGGAAAAGGGAATTTTTTGGGGGGGGTATCAGGGATCAAACTCATGACCTTGCGCTTGCAGGTGCAGTGCAACTGAGCTAAATCCCCGGCAGGAATTTTTTTTTTTAACAGTAGAATATAAAGCAGGATGAAAGGAATACTAGAAGTAGAAAATCACCATTTGGAATTATCATGGTAATAAGCAATTCAGTTCTTCAAAGGATACTAAAATTATTATGGTGAAAACTCAACGAAAAAGAAGAATATTTATAATATTAAAGCATCCTGCGCAAGCACAAGGACCCAAGTTCAATCCCTGGTACCAAAAAAAAAAAAAAAAAAAAGAATATAAAAAGTATCCTTCCTACAAAAGACCAGCCAATCTTTTTTTTTTCCTCCTTCCTTCCTTCCTTCCCTCCTTTTCTGAGGTACTGAGGTTTGAACCCAGAGGCTCGTGTGTGCCGGGGAAGTGTTTTACCTATGAGCTATATCCTCAGCCCTTTTCAAAATTTTTACTTTGAGAAAGGGTCTTGCTAAGTTACCCAGGCTGGCTTGAACTTGTGGTCCTTCTGCCTCAGCCTCTCAAGCAGCTGGGATGTCAGGCATGCACCTGGCTCTTTTCTTTTCAAGATAATCAAAAACTTACAGAATATTTAAAAGTATAACACAAAATTCCTATTTTGCACAAGTGAAAAGGAAGGCCCCAGCACTCCTAAATTCTTTAGTGTGGAATTTCTACACATATATTGTCCTGCGTAACAACCTGGCAAATGAGATCATTGGCACAGATATGACCAACATTTACTTCTCAGACCCACTAGGGTTCAGCACTGAGTCTAATCACTTTTTTAGTTCAGAACTACAAGTTGAATTTCATTGCTCAATTTCTTTATTCTTTCAGAACAAAACAATTCTTTACTATCTCCTTGAATTTCATGATTGGAACATTATAAAAATCATGTACCAGTAATTTACTGGTACATGATTTACTTCTCATTTTTATGTAATGTTCTCCTATATTTGGAAAGTTTTGATAAATTAGACCCTTCCAGTAAGTAGAACTAGATTATATGCAGGGTGTTGACAAATTAATTATAAAGTCTCTTAAAAGAAGCTGGGCATGGTGGCATACATCTATAATCACAGGACTTAGGAGGCTAAGCTAGGAGGGTCACCACAAGTTTGAGGCCAGCCTGGGCTACACAGTAAGTTCAAGGCCAGCCTGAACTACATTATATAGCAAGAACCTGTCTCAAAAAAAAAAAGGAAACAAACAAAATTACTACCAACTTTGGGCCAGGGATTTAGCTCAGTGGCACCACGCCTGGCTTGCAAGCGCAAGGTCCTGAGTTCAACCCCCCGTAGAAAAAAAAAATTATTACCAACTTTCCAACTTTGCTGTGACATTTCTTCCTTCTTTGAACACTTTCTTGCTTTCTGGATTCAGAAAAAAAACAATCTAGGTTCATGGTGCTATTTTCCCAGATCCAATCAGTACTGGAACCAAGCAGTACTGGTTCCTTTTCATGGAAAAAGATGTTTACAAGCCATGATCCAGGGGCCAAGTTGGCTCATTACTATCTTTTTTTTTTGGTACTGGGGATCAAACTCAGGACCTCGTGCTTTCGAGGCAGGTGGTGGAACCACTGAGCTAAATCCCCGGCCCTTTTTTTTAAAAAATAGAGTCTCAGTATGTGTTCCAGGCTGAGTGCTGGGATTACAGATGTGTACCACCACACCTGGCCTTGGCTCATTACTATTCAGGTGCTTCTACTCCCAGTAAACAGAACTAGAATATATGCATATACACATATATTATACACACACATTAGTATCTCCACATTTACTTATACGTATCATGTACGTACTCATATATAGTTGTGTAGAGCAGGCATAGAGAAAAAGAGGGCAAGGGCTAGAGGAAGAGCAAGGGAGAGAGGTGGATGAGTTATCACAGATTCACCTCCTTCCAATCCAACATCACAGACTTCATCCCAGTTTTGTGTCTTTCTGTTTTTGTAGCTTCCCTTTTTCAACAATGGGAAATGTAGCTTTCACTGACCTCAATGCATTTATTTTTTCAATTCCCTATCTGTAATCAAGCAACCACCCATGTTGCCCTCCTCCCCATGCCTGGATCTCATACCCCACTCAGCTATGTGAACATGGAGCAGACTCATGTTGATGAAGCAGTCAGAATAGACATAAGCAGCAACAAAATCAACTACTGGCATGTGCCCTGAGAAGATCCAGTGTCAATTCTGAATGTTTCTGCCAAAAAGTCATGGCCTGAATCTCATCATGAGGAAACATCAGACAAACCCACAAGGAAGGGGGTTCTATAAATAACTGCCAATAACTTTCAAAAATGTTAAGGTTGTGAAACCTAAGAAAGGTTGAAGAAATAGAGTTACAGCAAGTAAATAAAATGCATGATCCTAGACTGGATTCTGGGCCAGGAAAAATATAGCTATCAAATAATCTTTTTTTTTTTTGGTACCGGGGATCGAACTCGAGTCCTTGTACTTGCACAGCAGGCGGTGAAACCATTGAGCTAAATCCCCCGGCCCACTATCAAATAATCTAAAGTGACAACTGAAAAATCTGCACCGAGAGTACAGATGCAAAGAGTGCATGTTTATTATGTTCCCTGATTTTGATAGTGACACTGTGGTTATATAAAAGGTCTATGCTCTTAAAAAATACATAATGAAGTAATGAGGTGCAATCCTTGATAAAGGGTACACACATACACACACATCAGGTATAAATACCTGACAAAGGATTTACAAAAATGTCATGCATAAACATACACTTGATCTTAGCCAGAAAGCCAAGAAATGATTCATGTGTAAAACTCACACATATATCACACATTATATAAAGAGAAAGTACAGGCAATGACAATGCAAATGATACAAAGCCTTAATCACTACAGAAACTGGGTAGAGTACATAGAAGCCCTTTTTACTGTTAACACAACTGTTCTGGAAGTTTTATATCATATCACACAAAGAGTTACTAAAAATAGTAACATGACAGATTTTTCCTTTGTTATTTAATTTTGTTTATTCTGTTTTATCACTGAAAGGTCTACAGCACACATTTCTATTAACAAACAGATCCTTTGCTTCAAAGAATCACAGTAACTTCCCTTATTAATCTAAAATACAAACCTTTTAATGAATTAATTAATTGAATTAAATTCAAACCAGCAAATAAAAGCACTATAATTCCTGTGATCACGTATGTTCACTTTTAAACTCAGTCTATAAATTTTGCATGATATATTCAAATAGCAATAACATATACATTTTAAAAGTCTAAGTAAATTATCAAGATAAACCAGTATTTTTTGTCTCTGTAATTGCTATTATTACTATGTAAAAATCTTTCAAGATCCTCTTTCTTCATGAACTCTGCATATGTATTGAGAACATCCAAAAAAGATAGTGATTGAAATTATCATACAACTTTTACTTAATGTTTCTAATCTAACAACATTTAACAATAAAATAATGATTTATATGGGTTAAACTTCACAAATTTATCATTTGATTTCTATTTTGAGGAGAGTAAAATCCTTGCCAATACTTCAGTCTTTCTTCCAATTGAATTCTTTTGCTTGCATCTGGTAACATCTCTTTTCATTCTGATTTATGTACATTTGTTATTGCTGACAGTACTACTTTTCTTGATTAATAATATTTTGCCCAAATGATTCTTTGAATCTTTTCCTAAACTTATTTGTTCTACATGACTTTCTTTCAATTCTTCAACCATACTAAAATGAACTGGGAGAGAGTATAAAAATACCAAACTTTTTTTGAACATATCGGGTTCAAATTTTCAGAAGTTATAGATAACAGTCTTACTCAGTTATCACACTGCTATTTTAATTACAATATACATCCCAATTCTTCTAAACATTACCTGATAAGGTAGAAATCTTCAGGTATCCATCAAGGCAGGGAAGAATGTCTTTGTAATAAGGCTGAATTACATTCTTGTGGATGTGAAGTGACCATTCTTTGAGGGCACTTAGACCTACTTCTGCCAGTGGGGTATAGCTCAGGCCCAACTTGAAAGCCATCTATATATGTCAATACAAAGTGGGTAAAGTGAAACATGGGGCATTTAAGACAACCAAAAAACAGAAATTAATTGTGGTTTCTAATTAATATGTCCTTTTATTTCTGGACCCCAGATTCTGCTGGACTTAATTGGATACAGTGTAGGCCACCAAGAGGAAAAGAAGCAGCACAGTCCATATGGCTGTGGTTTACTGCAAACTTTCAACACATGCAATCCTTAATTCTCATATCAACTTGCAAAGGAAGCTCAGAGAGGCCATGCTAGGTATCACATGCCCTCAAGCTAGGAAGTGGCTGAAGCACAGGCTGAGCCAGGGCGCCCACAGGTATTGCTCTGACTGCCTGGATAAGACTTGGATACTTGAGTTCTTTTTTTTGAAACAGGGTCTTGTTATGTAGTTCAAGCAGGGCTTGAACTCACTATAGAGCCCAGGCTGCTTCTGAACTTGCAGTGAGTCTCCCACCTCAGCCTTCTCAGTGCTGTAATTAGAGGCATGCACCTCCGCACCTGGCTTTCATGTTCTTTAGGGAACATAATGTTGAGGACAGATGAGTCTGCTCAAGAAAATGTACCTACCTGCAATGCGGGGACGTAAGCCTTCACATCAAGTTCAATGATGTCATGTGGCAGGGACAGAACAAAGGTCAAACAGGAGGCCAAAAGTTCATCTTTGTACTGCTTCATTTTAACTGATACCTTAACAAGAAAGAAGACAGTTCTGTGTAGCTGAATAGAGCCTACAACTTGAAGTTCAATCAAAATGTTAACTCTATTTTCAAATATGAAAAAAGAGCATGTAGCCTTTGACATGACCACATTCACTTACAAAGTAGGCACTGATCTCCAGGAAAAGTTAATTTGTAGAATTACTTAATTTCTCTTATATGGAAAAACCAAGGAATGTGTTTAAATTTTTTTGCCTTCCCTCCTTTTTTTGTTTTTGGTTTTTTGAGGCAGGGTCTTACTATGTAATTCAGACTGACCTCGAACTCACTATGTATTCCAGACTGTCCTCATACTCACGGTGATCCTTCTGCCTCACCCGCCCAAGTGCTAGGATTACATGCATGCGCCACCATTCCTGGAGGAATGTGTTTAATTTTGAGTTGTCACCACTCAACTCTTTTAAGAGAACTCAAAGGACTTTTGAAGTCTAATACGTCCTACATTAGTTTTTAAAGACCTTACTCCCAATCTGGATTTAGCAAGACAAATTTTAATAATTAGATTACTTATAATCACCAGGTATTTTTCATATACATTCATTTAAAAATAGCTCATGAGATACTATGATAAATCACTTAAAAATTACCTCTTTGCCAAATTTTGCAAATAAAGCAAAGCAAGAATACTTTTCTGTGTCCTTGGGAGAGTGTTTCAAACTCTTTGGACTAACTCCCTGTCAAAAAAAAAGCAAAATTAGTATACTGGACAAGAATCAGCCAATTCCATATCATAATCTGGCAGATGTGAGCTTTTCCCCAAAAGGTGAATTTGTTTCTCTTTATTTTTATTTTATTTTTGGGGGGTACTGGGGATTGAACTCGGGACCTTGCGCTTGTGAGGCAGGCAGCAGAACCACTGAGCTAAATCCCCAGCCCTTGTTTCTCTTTATGAAAATCTAGTGAAGAGTGGAAGGGGAGACTAGGGTCTAAGGGTGTTTCCAGGCACAAGCCAGTCAAAAACAGAGCAAGGAGAGAAGGTGGAAGACTGGTCAAAGGCAACCATTGGGCAAGGCTAAATCCACTCCCCCTTCTCTGTGTTCCACTAAGATGTGGCTATCCTCTGAGAGACCTATTACCCTGCAATTACCCAGGCAGGCTCCTCTGGGGACTAAAAGGAAGCCTCAGAGAATGCTCCGGTCATTCTCAAACCTCACAACGAACCAGGATCATCTGGATGGCTTGTAATACAGATCACTTGGCCTTGCTCCCACAGTGTTTGATCAGGTAAATCCAGAGGGCCTAACTTCCCAAGTAAGGTTCAAGCTGCTAGTCATAAGACCTCTCTCTGAGAAACCCTGCTAATCTTATATAATTAACCAGGTATTTAAAAATCTGAGCACAAAATGCTACTTTTTTTTAGAGTCTTCAACTGATACACATCAGTGTGTGTGTGTGTGTGTGTGTGTGTGGTACTGGGGACTGACCCCAGGGGAATTCTACTGTTGAGCTATGTACCCAGGCCTTTTGATTTTTTTATTGTGAGACAAAGTCTTGCTAAATTGTCCAGACTAGCCTCAAACTTGTGATCCTTCTTCCTCAACCTCCTGAGTAGCTGAGATTACAAATGTGCCACCATGCCTAGCTTTACATACTAATTTTTAAAAATATATATGATATCGTTGCCTGCCTCGCAAGGACCCAAGTTCGATCCCGGTACCAAAAAAAAAAATACACACACACACACACACACACACACACACACACACAATAAAATTAGTAATTTAAAAATTGTATATGCTATAATCGCATGTTTTATAACTCACTTTATAAGCTCATAGAGCCCAAAAAACCACAGGAATATTCCACATCCTTAACAAGTCCAAAACAGACTTACCTTGAAATACTTCATTTTTTTGGCATTTCTCACTCCAATAGCAAGCAATTTGTAGAAACCACTGATGAGTGGCAACCGTGTAGACTGCAAAATTAACTCATATGAAAATGAGTACACCCATGGTTCAAAAAATTTGACTTGTTTCTCAGGGAGAATCTCTCTGTAAAAACAAATTAAATATTTAAGGTATAAATTTCTATTCTACTAGTTTTTGTTCAACCTTAAGATTATTATAAAAATCATGGACTACAATTCCATTATGTAACATTTTTAGGTATTCTAACAGTTTTAAGTATATCTACATTCTTTTTTGCCCTACTTGAGGATCATTTAACTTTTTTTAAAAAAAAATGTAGGGTTAGGGATTTAGCTTAGTGGTTCTGCCACCTGCCTCACAAGCACAAGGTCCTGAGTTCGATACCCAGTACCAGAAAAAAAAAAGTAAATTCTAAGCTGGTATGTTTAAATATATTTTAAAGGTCTAGATAAGTGATTTTTTCTTTTAGTACCGGGGATTGAACTTAAGACCTTGCGCTTGTGAGGCAGGGACAGCGCCACTGAGCTACATCCCAGCCCCTAGATAAGTGATTTTAAAGTCTTGTTTTTTCATTTTTCTTTTTTTTTTGGTACTGGGGATTGAACTCAGGACCTTGGACTTGCAAAGCAGGCACAGTGCCACTGAGCTAAATCCCTGGCCTGGTTTTTTATTTCTTACATTCATATGAGGCTATGTTTTCTTATAGCTAATAGCTGATAATTTTCTTTTCTCTTTTTTTTTTTGGTACCAGAGATCGAACTCGGGACCTTGCGTTTTCAAGGCAGGCATCGGAACCACTGAGCTAAATCCCCAGCCCAATTTTCATTCTTAAATATTAAAAATTTGACAAAATACCTGCAAAATTCCACCAGGTTAACGAAAGCTGAAAAATCTTTAGGTTTAGCAGGATGCAAGTTAGCAGCTGGATCTGAAGTCGGGATCACCCAAACACCAGTAGCCTCATTTCCATCCTTAAAAATTAATTGTACCAAACAAACACTTTACCATTCAATTACACAGTTCTCAACAAATAACTTCCCACTTGACAGCAGACTACACCTAATGCTATGAAGAAAGAATCCAAAAGTGAGAAAGGGAGAGACAAGTCCTTAAGAACTTAACTTTGAGAAGAATGATGAGCCTTGAAGAAACAGTAAACCAAAGAATTCATAGGTGTGACAAAAGAATGTGACAAAAATACAAGGACGGGTATCATATCTTTAAAAAGCTAGCAATGCCTTGACAAAGGTAGAATTTCAAAAGGTAGCAAATACTGATTATGACTTGGGAATATCCAACTGCAAAATAAATAAATACGTGTAATGAGCAGTAAGAAGAAAGACATGGAAAACAGGATTTTTGGGGAAGTGTATGAAGTTCAGTTTTATTAAACTTGTATTACAAATCTCTTGTTATCAAGTACAATTTGTGTAAATTCTAATGTTAAATAACTAGTTGAAAACTGAGCCAGAACCTACAAAGGACGGGAGATAAGGTATAACAGAGATTACAGATGACCTGCTGGCATGAGGCAAGAACAGCAAGCAACAGCAGAGAAAGAGGCCCTGAAGACAGCAACAGTGATGAATATGTGCTCTAAAATGCAGGTGTGTTGGCCAACACAGCTCCAGAAAGCTCCTTTAGCAAGTTTTTTCTTTTTAAATGAAATTATTTTAGACATACACAAAGCACAAAAAGCAATTAAACACACACTGGTGTTCTTAGCATACTACATAAAAAATAGCATATTACAAGTACAATAAAGCCAATATGGCAATGCTTTGTACTGTTTCCTGTATTCATCCTTTGTACAACCTCCCCATTACCTCTTACCTAACTTCATGACTGCAGTGGAAGCATATACATATGCACTCTAATGAGCACAATCTATTTGGTGTAAAACAAAAAAGAAAAACAAACCTCTGTGCTCAAGTGCAAACTACACATTTTCTATGAAAACCTCCAGCCTTTTACCTTACCCTCATTCCTGCAGTGTTTTTCTCCTCAGATAAAAGCAGGGCAGCTGTGAGCTGACAGTTTTAAGCTGTGACTTATATCTCTCTTCCAGCTAAGAAAACTGGGTACAGAAAAATGGAGAACACTTTCTTTTTTCTCTATTTATTATTTGTATTCTACTACCTCAAGAAACTCATTTAACACTTCAGAGTTTCCCTAACAATAAACATTACAGCCTCAGCTTTCCACCTGTATATACAGCTTTTCACCTGTATACAAAATGAGGTTTGACTCTACCATTCTTACAGAATGAGAAACAAACCCTTAAATTAATTTTTAAAATTATTTTAACATATCAGACATATAAATTATTTGGAATGATCCACTGATAACATTTTCTATACATTAGGCTACATCCAATAGAAAAGCAATAGCACATAAAAATCCCCAAAAAGCAATTTTTTTCAATCCTCTAAAGTTGTGCTATCTCCTGAATATTGACGTGCAAAGATTTAGCATTAAAATTATGGAAAATTACTAAGAACAAAACATCTAACCTCTTGTTCCCCGGTCTGTTTTTCTAGTGTAAGATCCAATTTCTCCACAATCTTCAAAACAGATTTAACAAATTCATCATAGAGTAAACGATTCAGACTTTGAAGGGAGGAATTCACAAAGAGAAATGTTTCATCTGCTAAAACAAAATCCTTTAAATAAAGAAAAACAAAAAAATTTCAGTATCTTGCACAAAAAAGTATTAGCGTATTTTATAAGAATAAACACATACACACACATGTTCACGTCTGTTGAGGTATCACAGAAAAAATGATTTTTCCATGCCAACATTAAATTGTAGCAGATTTACCTGGAAGCTTTCAAGCCTCAAAACTTAAAAACTCTCCCCGCCAAAACTATCATGACAGTATCTTTTCAGTCTGATAATATGACTTAGTCATGTTACACACACTTCATATGTAGTAGTGAATGAAAAGATTTAGACCAAGCACTATAAATGCATCTAATCCAAATTTCTGTATGGGATGTATAAATGCACAAATGATATATATATGCTGTTTTATATGAGTAAATTCACACGAATGTACACGTGTGTATAAATACATGTGTGCATACACATGTACATACAAATGGGTAAATATATGTGCCACCTCAAAATAGATTTTTTTTGAGACTGGGTCTCGCTGTGTAGTTCAGGCTAGCCCTGAACTCACTATGTAGTGCAGGCTGGCCTCCAACTCACAGCAATCCTCCTACCTCAGCCTCCCAAGTGCTGGGATTATAGGCATGTGCCACCATGCCCAACTTTAGAATGGATTTAAAAGTATAATCTAGCATTTCTTTAAAAGTGCAACTGTGGGCTGGGGTGCAGCGTGGTGAACAGTGGTTGCCTAGCATGTGTGAGGCCACAGGTTCAACCCTAGAACAACAAAAATTTTTTTTTAAAGATAAAAGTAAAGCTATTCTACAATTACAAAATTATAGGCCAATTTCTCTGCCAGGCAGGTATGGGACTTAACTTTGAAATAAGGGACATTTACCATCACACATAAAAGATAAATACTTTGGGTAACATTACTAACAACTATTATTTATTACTAATTTATGTACTTATTACAATGCTGGGGTTTGAACCCGAAGTTACTAAAAACTATTTATTTATAGATTCATTATGTTCCGGAATTTTAACCCAAGACCTCACACATACGAGACAGGCTAGGGTGGAAGGAAGCTCTTCTACTGTGATTATGCTTTTTGTTGTCTAAGAGGTTGGATTTAGCATCAAGTATAATACCCTGGGCTGGGGATTTATCTCAGTGGCACTGTGCCTGCCTCACAAGTGCAAGGTCTTGAGTTCAATCGCCAGTACCAAAAAAAAAGTCAATTATAAAACACTGTTACATAAAGCTAAAATGAGGATTCAGGTATAGTAATTAATTTTAAAAGAGCTCTACTCTTGTGTTCCTTTCATTTTTTTCTAGTTGTTAACTCTCTTTACTTACACTCTTAATTTTTTATTAGTGATGTGTTTTTAAAAAAGACTTTTGAAAGTTAGCAAGATATAACTTTGAAATAATTAAGTTTTGAGTGTATAACTATGGAGACTTTTAATAAAGACAATAACTGGGTATTTTTATGGCTTTCAAGTTATAAATGTTACCATCATCTGGTCACAGCTCAGGAGTTGTCTAAAAAGATCCACATAGTCTTTATACGTGGGCACTTTCCATTTGCCAGTTCTAACTTCCCCTGAGGCACGTTGGTCTTCAGATTCAGATTCAGCACCCTGGCCAGGAAGACAACATCCCAGTGTTAACTGATGGACTGAAAAAATCAGCTATGCTGCCAGAAGTTGCTGATTTTCAGAATTTCCTAAACTAAAACAGCAACCACCAGGAGACTATACAGTTAGATTGAGGAAGACATTACATTATAAAGCATGATAAAATAAAAGCAGCACAAAAAAAGACAATTCCTCTGTGACTAAAATCAAGTATTTCAACACAGTATCAACCAGATGTGCTATAAATCATTCATTTTTCTTACATGTTTCAATCTTACATCTCATCCTACTTTTACAGCTTCTAGTAACTAAGATATGCCTCCCATAATATTCCTTGATATTTTTACTCTTGAGTCTCAAGAGAGAAAACATTTGTTTTTTATAAAAATGTATACAACAGTTAAGTTGTGTTTTAGGACATTTTTACACCTTCAGAGAAGTGTATTCACCTAACAAAATATATGTCTGCAAAATGTAAGGCATGGCTAATAACTGAGAAGGGCCCTTTTACATATTTACATACTAAAACCTCAGCAATGTTTCTAACTTCCAGTGATACAAGACTAATTTTTTGAAAATTAAATTCAGAATTTACCTTTTGAAGGATCACTGGTTTAGAACACATTCTGATTAAACCCTGATGCACTGAAAAAAATAAAATGAAACAGCAAAAAATATAACCAATCATTAAGAACAATACTCATTAGAACTTTACTTCTCAATTTCTTTTCTAAAATTCTTAGTATCTTTAGTTTTAAAACATGAATTGTTAAGATTCATAAGCTAAGGACTAAAAAAAAGGATTTCTGGTTCACTAAAATTTAGGAGTTCTTTACAAGGCATTGAAGACACAAAAGAATTTGGCAACCAGGTTTCTTTACCTATATCAAATAACAGTAAGTATCCATCATTCATCGTCATAAAAACACAAAAACAAATGGCAAACTTACCCACAGTACCAATGCAATTCCAGAGAATTGGTCCTTTTTCTGCTAAGGCTAAGAAAACTTTCACTATGGCTTTACAACACACCGACTGCATTTTTGGACTATACTGTGGGAAACTGTCTATCTGTACCACCATGAGATGTTCTAGAACTGGAGTGTATACCTCAGGAACCTTCCAGAAACAGAGACAAACCAGAAGTCAGAGGAAGATAATACAAATAACTAAAGTAATTAAAATTGAATTAGTCACATACTCAATAAATGAAAAACTTGGCTTGTTATCTATTCTACCAAGGTTTACTATAATTGAGATTACCTTAAAAAAAAAAATTAGAGTAAAACTGTGTAAATGATACCTAAGATGAAATTCTATACCAAGCAGCAATACTTAATTTTTTTAGGAAGATGGAAAGAATAACAAATACTTTCTCCTGCTCCGGACAACAATAATTCAAGTTTCACGATGATAATCCCCCTCCCCCGCCCCTGTACTGGGGATCAAACTCAGGACCTTTCGATTGTGAGGCAGGCACGACACCACTGAACTAAATCCCTGGCCCTGATGATATTTCTATTGACAGGTAAATGACACATAAGTAAGTGTTTATTCATTTAAAGTATTATGTTGACCACAATGGTGCCTGCACTAAATCCATGATACGATTTATCAAATTATTTAAAGAAATGAAATCAAACATTTAAAGCTCAGTTAACCTATTTCACTTACCGTGTCAAGGTAAAGCAATACACTTGCAATAGACTGGAGGAAACTTGGCATCTGATAAACATGGTCATCAACAGTGTCTGCCTCTGTGAGAAACATTTGCTTGCAGCGCTGAATGAGCTCAACATACATGAAGTCAACATCTTTTGGATTTATAACCTTGCAGGGCTTTTAAGACAGGTAAAAGAAAGTACTTTATCAAGCTTATCAATGTCAAAACAAAGATATTTAAAATGACGTGGTAAGCCATGTGATTAAAAACTGAGTATTAGCTATTTATTTACTTTCTTATTTTATTGTATGTAAAATACAGTATGTTATTAAGATTTTTTTTTTTTTTTTTTGATACTGGGGATTGAACTCAGGTCCTTGGGCTTGCAGGGCAGGCGGCAGAACCACTGAGCTAAATCCCCGGCCCAAGATTGTTTTTTATAATAATCTATAATCACCTTCTAAACATTTATCCATACACAGAACAGTTTTTGATAACTATGTTCTAGGCACTGTTTAGATGGTATCTTGCCATCACTGCCCACATGAAGCTAGCCACACCAAAAAGAGACAGAGAATTAAACACATGATTGAAATTAAACACTTGAACTGGGTGTGGTAGTACACACCTGTGATCCTGGCACTTGAAAGGTTGAAGCAGGAGGATCCCTGTGAGTTCAAGGCCAGCCTGAACTACACAGCAAGATCCTGTTTCAAAAAACAGAGACAGAAAGCAAGCTAGGTAGCCAGCCTTCAGGATCTGAATGACTAGCTTATCTTTCAGAGCAATCTCCCTTTTCCCTTGTATTTCATGTTCTCTCCACACTGTGAATATCTACATCCACAGCAAACAAGCTGAAGTTGATTAAAGCATGGTGCTTAAGTAGAGAACTCCACGGTATGACTTCTGAGCCTTCTTACACACTCTTTTCCTGTCTTAAGAATATTTAGAGCTGATAGAGACAAATGGAGAGGAAGAGTACATACTGATGGATGCAGCTGCAGGGAGAGAGGCAGAAACTTATTTTATCTGTAAAACGGAAGTCCCAGAATTTCTAAGAGAGAAATCACTAGGGTTCTTCTTAATATTCTTCAATATTTCTGTCATAGGAACCTCCCTATCTAAATTACTGTATGAAACCAACTGTAATTTTACTTTAGAGAAAAGGTGCAACATAATACAGTGGGAAAACATGGTGCTTCTAACCATCAGACTTAGATTTATGTCTTATTTCTATGAATTTTTTTGTATCTTTTTTATTCAATACTGGGACTTAAACCCAGAGTTTCTGCACCAAGTTACATCCCCCGCCCTCCCCCTTTTTTGGGGATAAGGTCTCACTAAGTTATTAAGTCACCCAGGCTGAGCTCAAGCTTGCAATCCTCCTGCCTCAGCCTCCCAGATGCTTGGATTACAGGCATGCACTATCACGTCTGGCAAATTTTGTATATCCTTTGACAAGTTACCTAATTTTTCTGGGTCTCAGTTTTAGACATTGACAAAATTCTTAACTGTTAATAAATCAAATAACAATAAATTATCACAAGAGAATTATCACAAGTGTAAAATGTTATTAAAAATGCAATAAATTATATTCCTTTAAACACTTAAGTGAAGCCAAAAAGATAAAAAAGAATGAGCCATACTTCTGCAAACAGTCCATATCCACGAATAGCAATGGATAATTCCTTGTTGTTTGAATCTATGTTCCTGATGATTCCATAGAACTGCTCCATAAAGTACTGCAGCTTACTCTTGTGTGTCTCCGCATCTTTTGCCACCATATAAGAAACCTGCAACAGCACATTTACTCTTTAGTAGTATATAACAGCAAAACAAAGGAATATGAAAAAACTACCATTGTTTAGATACTGTTAACATATTATTACAATTACATTCAATCACTGTTACTTATAAAGACCTTCTGTGTAGTCTCCATCAGATTCAGAAATCACCTTTTTGTTCCCCTTTTGGTGGTACTAGATTGAACCAGAGACTGGCCTAAAGGTAATATTGTATGTGATGCAGTTCTCTAAAGAAAAGGATTAAATCAGACAAGAGAAATGCAGGGGAAGAAAAAAGTTTCCAATTAAGACTCCCTGAAGGGTAAAAAAAAAAAAAAAAAGACTCCCTGAGCTTCCACTTTTGGATTCCTACACCTCAGCCTCCTGGCGTATTGGGATTACAGGCATGAACTACTATGCCCACATTAAAATTCCACTTCTTCAAAGCAAATGTTTATTAAATTCCAAACATATTTGTATGAATTGGTTAAAAAATATTCCACAAATTTTTATTTTCCTTAACAAGAAAGACTAGCCAATTAAACAGAAGCTTTTATGAGGAGGTCCAGGAAGAAAAGCAGTAACTTTAATGCCAGTGAGAGACAGAAGCCTGCTGGGAATGTTGAGAGTAGCCGGGGAACGCTAAGAAGCTGGGAGGGACAGAGCAGACCGGGAGGGCCAGAGACAGCCTGCACCTATTTCAGTTTTGTGGGACAAACAGCAGAGGCACTTTCTTTCCCTTTGGCACATCAAACTGAATCTCAGGCCAACACTGTATCACAGGTCACGCAAATTTTCATGGGTTACCCTGTGAATTTATAAGGGATGATCAAAATACACAGGGAATGTTCACATTTTTAAAAATATATATTACAGTAAAAGACACACTGCCATTAATCCCCCTCAAATCATTCCTTCTCACTTTGAACACGCTTATCCCTTTGTTCTTGCCTCTTTCTGAAGCAGTTCTGGAAGTCATCTTTTGTGAGTGTCTTTATAAGGTACGATCAACAACATAGTGAATACTGCTGCCAAGTGTCATCCAATGAAAAGATAGGCTCATAAAAACATTACAGTAGGGGGCCAGGGATTTAGCTCAGTGGTTCCGCCACTTGCCTCACAAGCACAAGGACCCAAGCTCGATCCCCAGTACCAAAAAAAAAAAAAGAAAAAAAAAATTACAGTAGGGCCAGGGATTTAGCTCAGTGGTTCTGCTGCCTGCTTTGCAAGTGCAAGGTCCCGAGTTCGATCCCTGGTACAAAAAAAAAAAAAAAAATTACAGTATCTCCTCATCCACTTTGTTTACCAGATCTGGCACTGTGCGACTGCTGGCTCTTTCCCAAAGCCAAAATGACCATGAAAGGTAAACATTTTGAATCAGTTCAGGACATCAATGTAGCCACAACAGCACAATTAAAGAGATTCATGAAACAGGACTTCCAGAATTGCTTCAAAACTGGCAAAGGGGTATTTTGAGGGGGGATTAATTAATGGTGATGTGTCTTTTAGTGTAAGAATATTTTTTAATTTAAGCATTCACATTTTTCAATCACAACTCGTAATTACCACTTACCCATTTCTCACAGTGCTCTAAACAAAACTTTTAATGGGAATATCAAGTATTTTTATCAGAGCCAACCTAGGAGCCTGCCTCCTTAATGCCTAGCTTGACTATACGGATTTCCAGACTCGTCTGGATCTTCAGGACATCCCTAAGACCAGTGATCAGAAGCACAATTGCTCCTACCTCCTCTCTTCATTCTATCATACTTACTTCAATCTTGGCTCTGGGTCCTGATCTAATCTGGTATCTTCCTAGCTCTCTCAGTCTAGCTGCCACCCATGTGCTTGATCAATAGTAAAGCATCTGTTCTAAATTCTACAAAAGCTAGTGGATCAACTGGTATTTATTTTTCAAAAATGCAGGCACAAGATTAGAATTTAATTCTTTTCTAAAAACATTTTAAATGAAAGTTGAATTTGTAGTACCTGTTTCAGAAAGGATTCCAGGGCTGAATATGAAGCTTTTTTTAGTTCTATGTTTGTGTGGCTGCACCATTTTGACAATACTTCAAATAAAGACATGTAGTTGTCTAGAAGGCAGGTGCTAAGCTGAGATGCATGTAGGGTAAATAAGCGCAGGCCAGCTGTAAGAGCAAAGATCATCGTACTTAATATAAGACAACATAAACCTAAAGAGGGAATTAACAAAGCTGCAAATATGTGTCAAAATGAAAACCATGTTCATGAAGATTTAGTGCATTACTGTATAGTAACCCAGGGGTCCCACAGAGCTCTCTACTGCCACCAGCAGGCCCACAATGTGGCCAATGAACCCCATAAGAGTCAGAAAGAGGATTAGGATTTATTTGGTCAAAGTTAGAATCAAACAGCCTGGATCCCCTGAAGGATGCTCTAAAATATATTTTAAATTATGTAACCTGAGTGTGATTGTTTCAACTAAATTGTATGCTAAATGCTCAGTTCCCAAAAGCCTCTCTATAAAAAATGGAAACATCACAGGTGTCAGTTTCATTGGTAGTTTAAACAAAAACTTACTTGTAATGTTAACTTATTAATCTAAATTATACCTTATTAAGGACAGAGTCTTACCCAAAGGCACAGCGTATCTCTTCAAATCAATCTATTTCAGAAAAAAAAATTCACTATCAGTGTTTGAAAATCACAAACTTAATAGTAAATGAATTGCAATAATAATCCTACCTGAGGACAAATTGCTTTGAGTGCAAAATCAAAAATCTCCCTTGAAGTTTGGGGATCTAAGGAAATAACAATAAATAAAAGTCTTTGTTACAAATCATAACAATACTGTCTGACATACTTTACCAATGACTTTACAAATGACAACTTCATTTTATTTTTTTGTAATATGAGTGACTGAACCTAGGGCCTCACGTGGAGCTACATTAATTCCAATAGTCTCCTGTGCATTTAGGAGTATATAATCTCTTCCACCTTTTTTTTTTTTGGTACCGGGGATCAAACTCTGGACCTTGCGCTTGTGAGGCAGGTGGCAAAACCACTGTGCTAAATCCCCGGCCCCTATTCCACCTTTTGATCCAGGTAGGTAACTGCAAGTTATTACTGCTGCAGTTATTCCTGGGGGAAAGCAAAAACAAACAATCTGAAATAACAAAGACATGAGTTTAAATTCCATTTCCTCACTTCTAAGCTCTCTAATTCTCTCAGAGCCTCAGCTTTCTTATCTGTAAAAGAAATTAATTTATACCTTCTTTTAGAGTTGTTTGGAGGACTGAATGAAATAACTCACTCAAGGCCAACCACCACGCTGTTTTCCTTCCGATATTTCCAGGTATTTATTCCACACATAGTACATGACAAATTATTATATGAAATTACAAATGTGAATAAGATACAACTTTCGGCCTTAGTGAATTTATGAACTGGAAAGGGAGACAGAACAGGCACACAACGATAATGTGAGGTTGTTGTGCCCATTATCTTGATTGTCAGCTTGACTGGATTAAGTAGCAAACTCCTGGAGAGGTGCCTGGATTATGAGAGCACTAATGTCTGTCATCAGTGGGTTAACCTATTGATGAGTTCATAACTGAACACGTAGGAGCTATTTGAGGGAAATGGCTCATGGGGGCATGACCTTGAGGACCACAATTGGTTTCTTGCCCCTTCTCAGGCTTTTCCCTGCTCCCTGCTTCCCAGATACCATGAGTTGAGCTGCTTTCCTCTGCCACGCCCTTCCACCAGTTCAAATGCTGCCTGGGAGCCAGCCAACCACGGGCTGAAACGTCTCAGAAGATGAGCCAAATTAAACCCCCGAAGGTTGCGGATAAGAACAATATCAACATCAATTTGTTGTTAAAATGATGCCTAAAGATGGGCTGGGGATTTAGCTCAGTGGTTCCGCTGCCTGCCTCACAAATGCAAGGACCGGAGTTCGATCTCCGGTACCAAAAAAAAAGAAGTTCAAATTAAGGAAAGACTTTTGGCTGTAGGCATTCAATAAAAGGTTCATAGACATGGCAGCATTTGAACTGAGACTGAAAAAATTAGTATTAGTTGAGGGGGAAAAAAATTAGTTAAAAGGCTGGAGTAGTGTGCTTGCTTAGCAAGTGCAAAGACCTGGTTTCAATCCCCAGTACTGGAAAAATAAATCACTGACACAGAACATAATAGTGTAAACATAATAGTGGGCTTGGTGAGCACATAAGGAACCTGAACCATCACTAGGCAGTGAGCACCACTGTGGCACTCCTACCTCCTCCGAGGCTCTGCCTCCTGCTGCCCCCTCTCCTGCATCCCTTTCTGCTCTTTAGTGAGCTCTGTATAAACATTCTCATATGAATTTTCTTCAGTGTCATAAAACCTACACAACATTCATCATTTTAACACTATATAAAGGGTACAATTTAGTGGCATTAAATATTTTCACATTGTTATATAACCCTCAGCATCTATACCCAAAACTTTTTCATCATCCCCAAGAGAAAGGCTGTACCCATTAAATAACTTCCCACTCCCCTCTCTCTCCCCCATCTCCTGGAAACATCCATTCTGCTTTCTGTCTCTATGACTTTGCCTATTCTAGATATAAATAAGCCACAAATGAAATCTAATCAACAATTTTCACAGAAAGGATTCACTGGTAGAACCTGCAGGGAATTAAAAAGACCCACAAAGATATGCTCAACTGACTTTTTTTTTTACAAAGGCACAGAAGCTCTGCACTTAGGAAGCTGAGGCAGGAGGACTGCCATGCATTTGAAGTCATCCTAGGCTATACGGGTTGGTCCTGAACTATACAGCTAGACCCTGCCTCCAAACAAATAAACAAACAATAAAAACAAACAAAAAAAACAAAAGCAATTTAATAGAGATTTGGCAATGATTTCACAGATATGACACCCAAAGCATAGGTAACCACAACAACAAAAACAGATAAAATAGGGGTTGGGGATTTAGCTCAATGGTTCCGTCACCTGCCTTGAAAGCACAAGGACCTGAGTTCGATACCAAAACAAACAAAACAAAACAAAACAGTTAAAATGGTCTTTACCAAAATAAAGAACTTTTGTGTTTCAAAGACATAATCAACAGCATGGAAGAAAATATTTGAAAATCATATTTCTTTTTTTTTGGTACCGGGGATCGAACTCAGGTCCTTGCACTTGTGAGGCAGGTGGTAGAACCACTGAGCTAAATCCTCGGCCCTGAAAATCATATTCCTGATAAATTAAAATCTAGACTATGTGAGTAACTCCAACTCAACAATAGCAAAAAACCAACTAGCCAATAAGTACAAGAAAGATATTTGACATCCCTTATCATCAAGGAAATGCAAGTCAAAACTGCAATGGATATCACTTCACATGAGAATGGCTATTACCAAAAAAATTAGAAAATAACAAGCACTGGTGAGGAGGTGGAGAAACTGGAACCTTGTGCACTCCTGCTGGGAATGTAAAACAGTGCAGCCACCATGAAAACATAGTACAGTAATTCCTCAAAAAATTATGTGGTCCAGTAATCATACTTCTGGTAATAGTACAAAAGAACTGATGGCAGGGACTCTCGCCATACCAGTATTCATAGCAGTACTATTGACAATAATTAAAAAGTAGGAAGCAAACAAAGTATCCATTAATTGAGAAATAAATAAACAAGACATGGTATAATCATACAATGGAATATTATTCAGCATTAAAAAGAAGAAAACCCTGACACATGCCAACATGGATAATTATGCTAAGGGAAACAAGGCAGACCCAAAAAAGTTACATACTGAGTTCATTTGTGTAACATTCTTGAAATGACGAAACTACAGATGGAGACAGGGTTAATGGTTACTGGGGAAGGCTGGAGGGGAAGGGGTCGTGGCTATGAAAGGACAGCTCAAAGGTCTCTTGTGATGATGCAGCTGTTCAGGACCTTGACTGAAATGGTGCACACACAAACCTACATCTTGATACAACTGTAGAGAACTAAATACATACATTAAACACATGCATGTAAAACTAGTGAGATGTGATAAAAGTCTGTGGATGGTATCAATGTTAATATCCTACTGTGTTATCTGTCATAGTTACAAAAGACATCATCTCCAGGGGAACCAGGGGAGGGCATACAGGTCTCTCTGGTTTATTTCGCACAACTGTATGTGAATTCATAATTGGTTTAGAAGTTCAAAAAATAGGTAATTTTTGCTAGACTTACATAGTTTTTGAATTGAGAAAGAAAACCAAGCCCAGCAGTACCTTCTTCCATGGACTTCGTAAAGTTGCACAGAAGTGAAGCCAGTCCCTTCAGACAACCAGCTACAACAGGCAGTTTGGGCTCTCTTACTGCTGATGTCATCTAAAAAAGTTTTAGGAAGATATTACTTGATGAGAAAAAAGCAACTAAGTCTATATAAGCAAAATATCATCAAATTCCTCATACCTGTGTCTTAAGTTCACCAAGAAATGCCCGGAACAGGTTTTCTGAATAATTTATCATCTCACTAGGATGAACTTCACCTAATACTCCGAGGAGCTCATATACCTTTTCTAACACTGAAAAATAAAATTTAAACAAATGAAATCCTAGAACTAAATTTAAAGGTAACCAAAGGTTAACTTAAAGTTAACATAATAAAAATGTATGAATAAGAAAATAAAAGGTCATTTAGTTCAAAGGCAATTTTCTAGTAAAACACAAAATACCTAGTTTTGTGTACTAAAATCTTTCCCATTTTATGCCAGTCTATTATATGATAAACTAAATCATATTTAACATGTATTGTGTTTTCTACGTAAAGAAATCATTTTGTAAAGATCAACACTTTTATAAATGGAAGTCCACACATTGTTGCTTCCATTTTGGTACATTTTCAGCAAAAAAAAAAAAAAGGATTCATCTATAAAACATTTAAGACCTTGGTAAAGGAAACACTAAGTTATGTTAATTTATTAAAAAATTTAAAAGCTGGACTTGGTGGCGCATGCCTGTAATCCCAGCACAGAGGCAGGAGAATTGCCACGAGTTAAGAGGCCAGCCTGGGCTACACAGTGAGTTCAAGGCCAGCCTGAACTACAGTGAGACTCTGTCTCAAAAAAACCAAAATAAATAAAGTTAAATATTAAATAAAATATTTAAAATAACACTGAAATGAGTCTCACCTGTATCTGGTATTTTTGTTTTCAGTGCAAGTTCTCCATAGAATTTATTAAATAATTCTCCAACTTTAAATTCATCCATGACTCTAGAACTTCTCAGAGTTTGAAGTAACTAAAAGAATACAAATTGGCATTTTCTAAAGAGGAAGATGTAGAAAAAGCTTCCTCTACTTCTATGCCTCTATACACAGTGAAACTTCAGAACCTTGTGTCACTAGGGGATTTACACTCAGGACTTACAACTACCGAGATGACTGCGGAGGTAGGGCTTGATGTGGGTGGTGGGAAAAGCACAAGAGAAGGATGGTCAAGGCTTAATTTTACTTTCCCCAGAAACCAATAACATGACTAGAAACATTCCCTCAGAGGCACTCAAGACCAAAGACCAACCAGGATCAAAGGAATTCTGAAATACAGATGCAAAGAGACAGACACACAGATGAGTGAGCCCCAGGGACCACCAAAATACATTCCCATTCCCACTGCCAAGGTTTCAGGGAAAAAATCATGAGAGACATGAAAAAGTGATCTTTGGGCAAGTCCTAATAGCAATAGGTTTCTCCAAGGGCAACTAAGGGTGGTAAACGGAAAAATAGTAAATTCTGCAGTTATTTTTCTCCTCCTTTCTCTTCACAACTCCAGATTCATCTTTTACTACCCAGGAGAGCATGAGAACAAATTATTGGGATAGTGTTACATGATGGCTGGAAATGTGTGTCTTTCCCACACATCAACATGATTCACCCCATCCTCTTCTAAAAGTCTCACCCAAAACAAACGCCTATTTTCTGTTTTGTAAATTGTATGTTTAACATAAAATACTTAAAAATATAAAATTACTGCCAGAGATTTAGCTCAGTGGTTCCAGTGCCTGCCTCGAAAGCGCAAGGTCCCGAGTTCGATCCCCGGTACCAAAAAAATATAAATAAATAAATAAAATAATACAATTACCTTAATGAGAAGGTCTAGGGCTGGAATTCTACATTTAGCAGCTCTGTCTTTTGTATAAACACTGGTACAAGTATTCTAGGTTTGAAAAGGAAACATACCGAAATCATCAATAAGATGTAAGGATTATGACTTAATAGCTAAAACCACATTCCTGAGGAGCAATAACAAAGTATGACACATTAAAATTTAATATTTAGTGCTTAAAAATATAGCATTAGAGTGTATAAGTGTACAGATGAAAACTTACAAAAGCCAGATGTGAGGGCACATGCCTGTAATCACAGCTATGTGGAGGCTGAGGCAGAAGGATTGCACACTGGAGGCTAGCTTGAGCATCTTATTGTGAATAAAAAGTGATGGACATGGCTTGCCTAACATACAAGAGCTCTTAGATTCAATCTCCAGTACCATTAAAAATAAAACATAACTGGGCCACGGATTTAGCTCAGTGGCACTGGGCCTGCCTCACAAGTCCAAGGTCTTGAGTTTAATCCCTGGTACTGGAAAAAAAAAACCCAACAAAAAAACCCCACTTAAAAATACTGATGCAATATATTATGGTTGTAATAAAAACTTTTAAAAACACAAAATAAATGGACACCTCAGCAGGTCCTGGGTTCCATCTGCAGCACTGGTTAAAAAGTAGTAAAACAAACTGTACATTAAAGAACTTTGTAAAGTGTGATACACTACAAATATTAGCTGCTTCTACTATTAGGCAAGTTGGTTTTTTTTTTTTTGGTACCAGGGATCGAACTCGGGTCCTTGCGCTTGCACAGCAGGCGGCGAAACCACTGAGCTAAATCCCCAGCCCTTGAGCAAGTTTTTAATTTTTAAAGTTTTTTAAAATATTAAGAGTGCTGGGAGTGGTGGTGTATGCCTATAAGGCTGAGGCTGAAAGATCACCATGAGTTTGAGGCCAGCCTGGGCTACATAGTGTGTTTAAAGATAGCCTTAACTACATAGCAAGGCCCTGTCTCAAAAGAAAAAACAAAAAACAAAGCAAAACAAAATAAAATTAAGATCACAAGAAAGATGGACTAGAAATCCAAAGAGAATAAAAGCCTTTTTAAAAAAGGATTGATAATCATTAAAAATAACATTTTGTGGGCCAGGGATTTAGCTCAATGGTTCTGCTGCTTGCCTCACAAGCTCAAGGTCCCAAGTTTGATTCCCGGTACCAAAAAAAAAAAAATTTTCTAATTTCAGCTAATTATAATTTTAAAAATATAGTTGTCTCTCAGTAGCTGTGGGGGGATTAGTCTAGGATACCAAAATCTGCAAATGCTCAAGTTCTTTGTATGAAATGGTGTACTTGGATACAACCTACTCACATGTTTCAAATCATCTCCTCCAGGTTACTTATAATCCCTAATACAATGTAAATCTGTATAAATAGCTGCTATACTGTATTACTTGGAGAATAACAAATACATCTTACATGTTCAGTACAGATGCAATTTGTTTTTAATTTTTTTAACCTGGAGGTGGTTGAATCCCTGATCATGACTAACCTGCAAATATGGAGGGCCAATAGTGTCTTCTTACAAATGACCTCAGATTGAACACATTCTTCTTCATCAATTCTTAGCACATAAAAACTAGACACAAACTTAGGACCAATACAACTTACCCTGATATATGGCACTTATCAAAGGCATAAACAAGGCAGAGAACAGCCTAATTTTATGATTGCTAGTTCCAGGAGGAAACCTGGTGAGGGTAGGCTGGAGAATGGGAGGTAACTGTTCAGACTGTTGTTGAAAAGAAGACATGAGAGACAGGAGGGCTCTTTAAAATTATCTTCTAGGGCCGGGGATTTAGCTCAGTGGTGCTGCCTCCTGGCTCGCAAGTGCAGTGTCCCGAGTTCAATCCCAGGTACCAAAAAAAAAAAAATTATCTTCTAAAGTGCCCTGGAGTTTGCCCACAACTCAAACCAGCCAATTTATTATGACTTTTTGTAAAAGACTTTATCCAATGTGCAAAAAATTATCAAGAGTTATGAAAAATTATCAGCTTCTCTGACTAGGGTCTTATTAAATTTAAAACACATAATCAAAAGCTCACTTCATTTCTAATACAACCAAGGAGAAATAAGTAAACCTCCCAACAAGAATGGTATAAATAAAATAAAAATCTAAGTTCCTTGCATCATAAGCTAAAATATGATGAAGTATGCTTTTTTTCACTTTACCTTAATATCAAGAGAATAAGGCATGATCTTCTGGCCAATTTTTTCTAAGAAAATACATAGAAATTTCAGGGCTTCTTCTCTACAATCACGAAACTATAATAAAAGAAATAAATACAGTAAACATGGGTAAGAATAAGAACCACTCCAATATAAAGGAATATACAAGAAACAAAATGGAAAATTTTGCACTTACTTCATCAATGCTAAGTGATTTCCGAATAAATACAAGCAATCCAAAATCTTTGGAAAAAACTAAGGAACTCTGTAATGCTGGACCGAAAAGAAAAGAAGTTAAGAGAGTTGCCAAGAAGCATTTCATAAACCACCTGTAAGAGGATTGCATGGTTTTCAAGGCAGCTTTGTAAGTGATAAGATGCTAGCCCTAAAGCTGCAAAATAGAGACAAACAAAGCCAAAAATTCTGGATGATATTCAACAAGCACAGAGTAGGCAAAATAACCATCCCACCCCAAAGAAGCCCATCTCCTAATCTTTAGTGTCACATCTCTGGATATTAATTTTACAGGGCAAAGGAAATCAAGGTTGCAGACAGAATTAAGGCTGCTAATCAGGTGACTTTAAAACGGAGAGCCTACGTTAGACCCAATGTCACATGGTACTTAAAAAAAAAGGTGGGCTTAGCCATTTGCAGGAAAATGAATGGAACTAGAAACCATCATGTTAAGTGAAACCAGCTAGACTCAGATGTTTAAATATACCATGTTATCTCTTAGCTGAGAAACCTAAATAATACATCCATCAATGAATCCATCTTTTGAGAGATGACAAGAAACCAGGAGATAGGCTTTTGAAGATGTGGAAGGGGGTCAGCAGGAGGAGTGAGGAAAGGGAGCGAGAGGGTAATGGAATTGACAACTATCAAGATATTTTAAATGCACATTCCATATTCCCAAAACAATCCCCACTGTTCTGTAATATTAACATCCACTAGTTAAAAAAAAAAAAAAAAAAAGGAAGAAGAGTAGGTCAGATGGGAAGATGGGCAAGCAGGAGATTCAAACCTCTCCTTCGAGGGACTTGGCATGCTGTTGATGGCTTTGAAGGTGGGCAAAGTAATCCATGGAAAGTGGGCACATTTTAGAAACAAAGAACACTAGCAAAGAAACAGGATCCTCAGTCCTACAACCTGAACGATTAAGGAAATGGATTCTCCTCTAGAGGCTTCACAAAGGAAAGCAGCCCTGTCTGATACCTTGGTGCAAGCTTGGTGAGACCTTGGTCCAGCTTCTGACTACAGAACTTTAAGGCTAGCAATTGTGTTGTTTTAAACCAGTAAGTCTTCGGGAATTGTTACACCAGCAAAAGAAAACTAACTCCCCTACAATCTCTTAATGTACTGTATACTGACAACAAACTTGGAACTGCTTTAGAAACAAGTAACAAAACTAAATTCTAACCTTGAAACACTGAGGACAGAAAGCAATTATATAATGTAGTTTTTAAAAATTAATTTTGCATTTCCCTATTATTAATATATCCTTGACAACATGTGAATACCATATCTTGTTTAAAGTGTTCACGTTTCTACATGGTAATTAGTACAGGCCTTTTAGATCTCAACTAGCCCTACACCATGTAGATAAAAAGATTTGCACAGTGTGTTCTTTTAAAAAAAAGGAATACGGTAATTTTCACGCATGGTACAATTAAGTTTAAAAATGGTGAAGAACTTCTACAGAGGAAAAAAGTTCTCATACAGGCATTGCTAAAAAGTTAAAGAACAATATAAAAACTGGGCTTGGTGGTGCACACCTGTAATCCCAGCACTCGGGTGGCTGAGGTAGGAGGATCACTACGAGTTCAAGGCCAGCCTGGGCATAGAGTGAGTTCAAGGCTAGGCTACCTTACAAAGCAAGACCCTAGTTCAAAAAACCAAGAAAACAACATGACTTTTCAGTTGTATTTATGTGATTCTTTTCAAAATCAAGAACAGCAAATATAAGAATGGGAGGGTGACTGGCACGAGGAGGCGAAATGAAAGTGAAAAAAATACTTCCTCTAGTCCTTTTCCCCATTTTGGAGAGCAATGATTGCCAACTTTGTGGTCATTTTCTAAAAACTGTTTTAAAAATACCTTTATTCTAATGTTAGGGGAAAACAGTACGACAAATCGCTTTTTATACTCTTCCACAGAAATGCAGGAGATTTCAAACTACTCCAAACCACACCCATGAGGGCAAAAACGCTGGGCTAACTTCAATACAACTCGCTGAGTGAAGGGACCACACACCACCCGGGGCGGTACCCACCCAGCACGGCAGAGCTGGTGCTCAGCACGCACTCCTGGCCCAGGCCGCGAATCAGCTGATAACTGGCCGTGGCGGCGCTGCAGCGGTCCGCTGTGGACAGGAACTCCTGCAGCTCCAGCAGGGAACCGCGCACGCCCGTCCTGGAATCCGCCATGATGCTGACACCTCAGACAGCCTCCCCTCCAGCCCTCGCGCATGCGCGCCAAGCCCGGGAGAGGCAATTCCGAGGGGCGCGGGGCGGATCCCCAGCCAAGGGAACCTCCCTATAGGCTGTCACTGGCGTTTCCTCTGGATAGAAACACCCCGCTTAGACCCTTCTCTTGGGGACAATGAAAGTTTTGGGTGTAGATGGTGATAGTTATATAACAATGTGAAAATTACTTAATGCCACTAAATTATACCCTTACAAAATGTTAACATACTGACAGTTTTATAAATGCATAGCACATAATGCAGGTAGCAGGTACACAGCTAAATTTAAGGAGAAATAGGAATCCAAAGGTTTGACGTGCGGAAATAGATGGGGACGATACTTAAATGTTGGGTTAACTAAAAAAGGCAGAAAAACACAAACTAGGGGTCTTGTCAAGATTGACCTTATTCCTTGATAAAGAGTGAAAATGTATTTAGGGTGTCTTTTCAAATAAAAAAAAATGCCAGAGACCAAGAAGTGTTACAGGAAGAGACACCCCTCCAATAATTGATCTTGTGGTACTTCCCAGATTTCCCGCGAAAACGCGACCCGGTCGGAGGCCAGACCATATGAACCTTAGGTAGGGCTTAGCGACGACTTAGTCTGATTTGTCACAGGAAGTCGTTCAATTCCCCCTATCGGTGCACAGTGGCACCTTCCGAAGGCGGAGCCACGCGCTAGCGCCTCTACGATTGGTGGGCACCGCCAGGGACGGTGACGACCGTGCCGCCGGCGGGAAGCTTTAGCCTCGCTAGTGTTCTCCGGCCGGACTCTGCAGGTGTATCAGGAGTCCGCATAAGTTGCCAGGTGGCTGTCTTTCCCGGGAAGCCGCGCGCGGTGTGGGAGCGCACAGCGCAGAACTCGGTGGGGACGCAGGGCCGAGCGGGGCGGGAAGGCTGCGGAAGAGGCGAGCGCGGCGCGAGCCTGTTCTTGTCCCTCAGGATCCCAGCATGTCGTCGCCGGCGTCGACCCCCAGCCGCCGCAGCAGCAGCCGGCGCGGATTGGCCACCCCCGCCCAGACGCGTGAGTCTCCCTCTGTCTTTCCTCCCCTTCGTCCTGGAGCTGGTCACACCACAAACCCCCTTCTAGTCTCCGCCCCTTCCGCCTGCTCCGCGGCGACCCGGAGCGCTCCTGGCTGCTTGAGTGCGGGTGGCTTGCCCTGGCGTGCACCCCCGGGTCTGTGCATTGACACTCAGCTGCCTCTAGGCGCTCATCTCCCTCAACCCCGGAGTAGTTTCTCATTTCAGTGGGTTAAACATGCTTGTGGCCGTCTGTCTCGATTTTATTTAGTTTGTATTTGTTAAGTAGTGAATCAAACATCCCAAGAGGCAAATCCTGGGAGACTAAACCAGAGCCTTAAGGTCTGTCTGTGTTTTGTGTCAAACATAAGCCCGAAACGAGGATGCCAGGTCATCTCCCTCTCAGAGACGCAGAGGCGAGGATTCCACTAGCACTGGAGAGTTGCAGCCGATGCCTCCCTCACCTGGTGTGGACCTGCAGAGCCCTGCAGCCCAGGATGTCTTGTTTTCCAGCCCTCCACAGATGCATTCCTCAGGTGGGTTTCTGGAGATCTAGATTACATTGCTTGATAACACGGCTGGTCAGCACCTTTTTTTTTTTTTTTCCGGTACCGGGGATCGAACTCTGGACCTTGCACTTGCGAGGCAGGCAGCGGAACCACTGAGCTAATTCACCAAAAGACCTATAGAATAAAACAGAGACAGTTCATGTTAGGGCATATTGAGTAGAGAAAGATTTTTTGGCTTTTTATCTAAAACATCTTCAAAATCGTTTGCTTTTGCATTTAGATAACAGATCTGCAAACATGCTGCAATTTTCAATTTGATATGTGACCAAAATTGCACTGTAAACTTTGCATTTTGTTTTTATAGCTATTCCTCTGGACTTTGATGTTAGCTCACCACTGACATATGGCACTCCCAGCTCTCGAGTAGAGGGAACCCCAAGGAGTGGGGTTAGAGGCACACCTGTGAGGCAGAGGCCTGACCTGGGCTCTGCTCGAAAAGGTCTGCAGGTGGATCTGCAGTCTGATGGGGTGAGTACCCAGCAGCCTCCTGATAGCATCATCTTGGGAGCCTGAAATGGGTAATTCCATTGACATGGCTCTGTCATTTTTCTGTGCAGGCAGCAGCGGAAGATATAGTGGCGAGTGAACAGTCTCTAGGCCAAAAACTTGTTATCTGGGGAACAGATGTAAATGTAGCAACATGCAAAGAAAGTTTTCAGGTGAGCTGTATGTGTTAAAATTTATACTTCAGGGGTATGAGAATGTTGGCAGAAAGTGTGCATGGTCTATATGTAAGTAGTGATAGTGCCTAGGGGCAGGATTGTTGGTGTTTTTCAAGATATATGTATGTATCATATATGTGTAAATATATATATATATGTTTATAGTCACATACTCATAATTTCCTGTATATTAATACTTGCTTGTTCCTAAGTTTGTTAAGCCTAACATTTTTTCTCTTCACATCAAGAGATTTCTTCAGCGTTTTATTGACCCTCTGGCTAAAGAAGAAGAAAACGTTGGCATAGATATCACTGAACCTTTGTACATGCAACGACTTGGGGAGGTAATACAATACCCTTATATATAAATTAAAGTTATAGCCAAAACAAAATCAGCAAAATATAACTTATTCTTTCTATCTTACAGATTAATGTTATTGGGGAGCCATTTTTAAATGTAAACTGTGAACACATAAAATCATTTGATAAGAATTTGTATAGGCAGCTCATCTCCTACCCACAGGTAAGAATACAGCTTTTACCTTAATGAATTAACAGTAACTGTCTAGAAAAAACATTTCTGAACAGCAGAATTTTTGATAAAAGGGGCTTCAAAGCACCCACACATTTAAGAAAACCATTTTTTACTTCCTTTAAAATGAGTATTTTTTCACAGTTTACTATTTCTCAAACTGACATATACAGTGTATTACTATCACCGACATGTCATACTTTCATTAGTATTTCTTAAGATACTGATGAATCTTATAATAAGAGTGTCTTGGATTTCATGAAGTAAGCAGAATTTCAGGAGAGGGTTGCTGGGGGTTGGTTCCAAAACCTTTGCATTGAGCTGCATCCCCAACCCTGTTTTTATTTTTTACTTTGAGACCAAGTCTTGCTGGGCTGGGGATTTAGCTCAGTGGTGCCACGCCTGCTTTGTTTTTGTTTTGGGTTTTTTTTGGTACTGGTGATCAACTCTGGTCCTTGCCTTGTGCAGCAGGCGGCTAAACCACTGAGCTAAATCCCCGACCCTCCATACCTGCTTTGAAAGCACAGGGTCCTGAGTTTAATCCCAGGTACCAGGGGAAAAAAAAAACCAGAAACAAGTCTAAGTTGCCCACGCCTGGCTCAAATTTTCAATCCTCTTGTCTCAGCCTCTCAGAGTGCTGGGATTATAGGCATGTTTCACCACACCTAGCTTAAGTGGAAATAGTTATAAATGCATTACATGTCTCCTGCTATCTTTTAGCAGAGTATTTTAGCTGTACTATAGTCTTTCTATTTTAGATCAAAAGTCAGCTTTTATTAACAATTCATCAACTCAATTCATTTAGGTATTGACTTTGAAGGCAAGCAGACTTGGGTTTTAAATCTAGACTTTTCTGCTTTGTAGATTCAAACCTGTCAAGTTCTTTAACTTACCAAAAGCTGGTTTCTTAATCCATACAATGAGAACCGTATATTAAATTTGGATGAAATTAATTTAATCTTAATAACCATTTAGTTATGGAGGAAAAATAAAATGAGCTCAGAATCCTTTCCCTTGTAATCAAAAGCATAAAATATACTAGTATGTTGAGAAGGCGCTTTCACATATACTACCACAAATCCCAAATGAGAATGTACAGGTAAGATCAGTGTACCTAAGGTTTGGGGCCGGGGATTTAGCTCAGTGGTTTCTCCGCCTGCTGCGCAAGTGCAAGGACCCAAGTTTGATCCCTGGAACCAAAAAAAAAAAGGAGTGTACCTAAGGCTTGAAAATAGGATATGTGTGGTTTTGTAGGTTAATGCTTGGGAGGCATGTATGTCATGATTTTTTTTATATATATTTTGTTAATATGAAATCTTTTATTTTTTTATATTTAACTCCTGGATAAGAATACAAACATAGTTAGGCTTCTTTATATTTTACAGGAAGTTATCCCAACCTTTGACATGGCTGTTAACGAGATATTCTTTGAGCGTTACCCTGACTCCATCTTAGAACATCAGATCCAAGTAAGACCATTCAATGCATTAAAGACAAAGAATATGAGAAACCTGAATCCAGAAGGTATGTACTATAATAGGAAGGTGCCATACATAAAACCAAACAAACCTTATTTCATCAAGGAACTTTAGAAAGAATTTGTGATGGTAGAGGTGGATTATAAGTTGACAAAAATAATACAGATTCAGTAACTGTACATATTTACGAATCCACCATGCCTTTTTCTGGGTAACTCAAAATAACTGATAGAAAAAATTGCTTGGTCTCTTTTATATGAGAAACCCAAAGTATAAATAATTTAAAGAGCGAAATAAAAGATGTATGATAACAAACATGTAGGCATATGTCATGGAAATGGGAAAGGAATCTGCCGATGAGGGAGTCAAGAGAAGGGGAAATAAAACAGATTAAGGTCTGGTATGTATATGTACTAATGCCCCATGATGAACATATTCATTATGTTTTGCACATATATACTGATAAAAAATTAAAACTATCAACCAAAAATAGTGACAATTTACAATCCTCTATCTGAAAGTGTTTACCCAAATTGATAGGTCTACCTTTGTTTTATTACTGTAGGTAGGCATTTTCTTAGTCACTGCAGAAAATAAATACAGAATATAATCCCTTGCTCAAGAAAGAAACCTAGCATGGGAAGTAAATAACAGATGAGACAACAAGGGCAGAGCAGTGTGGGAGATAGCTCAGGGATAACACCGGGCTGGGCCTCTGAGGTAAAGGTTGTAATAAAAGATACATGGATTTGAGTTAGGATTTGGAAAGCAAGCATAAGGGAATTTGTTCTAGACACTGGAGAGTGGGTACTGGGGCTTGAACCCAGGACCTTGCACGTGCTAGGCAAGCATTCTACCACTGAGCTTCAATGCCAGATCTTTTTCTAGACAATGGAAAGAAGAGATCTGGACAGAAACAAAGATACAGACAGAGCTGTGTTTGGACACTGTGACATGGGTGGCCAAGGCAGAAAGTTTGTGAGATAGTGTTTGAGTGAGGTTGGAAAGCCCAGGTCCTAGAAAGCTTTACTATCAATTTACAGAATAGAGATTTTATTCCAAAGTCATTAAGCCATTGATACTTTCTGAGACGATTTTGAAGTTCACAGAAGTTCTTTCATGCAAAGTATATTGGAAATAAGTTAGAATTTCTCAGTTTAATTATGGGGCATCAGGGTCCTGACAACAGTGGCCATAGAAGTGAAGTATAGGATACATATGATACTTGTCTCATATGAACATTGAGGTATTACAAAAGTTGTAAATAAGTCAGGCATGTAATAAGCTCATGCCCATAATCCCAGTACTCTTGGAGACTAAGGAGGATGATCCTTTTAATAACTTCAGTATTTTAGTAAAGAAATGTAATTTTTTTTCACTTATGAAATTGGCTTCTGACCTTGTCTTTATGAGGGAGAGTTATGGTAGGGATGTCAAAGGGACTAAGTGGGGTATGTTTAAATTTTCAAAGGTAGGGCATCATTAATAAAGAACTCCAAGAGAAGATCAGAAGTAATCATAGCTTTAGCAGTCAAGGAATTGCCAGGTAATTCAGCTGATTTCAAATTTTGCCTACTTCCCAGGCATGGTGGCACACGCTTGTAATCCCAGCACTTGAGAGGCTGAGGCAGGAGGATCACCATGAGTTTAAGGCCAACCTGGACTATACAGTGAGACCCTGTCTCAAAAAGAAAAATGTCAAATGTGGCCTAATTGCATTTTAAAATAAAAGAAGGTTTAGCAGAGAGGAAAGCAAAGAAGTATAAATGGAAGGAACAGGATCAAACAAATTCTAAAGGCCTCGTGAATTAACAGTAACTGCTAGTAGGGTGGGATGATCTTCAAGAGCAGCAAAGCCTAACCACAGCTATATTTTGTTGGCTGTCCAGAGCAGTGTAACTCACTTGGAACAGAAGTGGGAATTACTCAGAAGTTGTGTTCCCAAGGGGAAAAATCCAGGTAGTGGAAGCATGAACAGGAGTGAAAATGAGACTGTGGAAGGGGCTCCGTTGGGTAGATAGTGATGATTGCTAAGGAGTAGGTAGAATGCTCTTTCTCTGTCGGGCACCATCTCACTAGACCTGGTGTATGTTAACCAGTCCTCGACAACTGAGGTAGGTCCTTTCCTCCTTCCCACTTCTGTAGATGAGGCAGAAGGAGGCCCAGAGAGGCTGAGTGACTTCTGAGTTGAATTTTCTCAGTCAAGATCGCCCTGCTTTAAAACTTTACTTTTACCTGAGACTACAGGGCTGTGAGTGAGAGGATGGCAGGCTGGACACAGGAAGGGCATCCTAGACCACTCCTGAGGGACCTTTGCCAGCTGTATATGCCAGCAACACTGACCTCAGCTGTCCCAGCACCTCTGCACCTCGTGTAAAGAGTAATGGACAAGCCAACCTCTGTCCCCTCAGACATTGACCAGCTCATCACCATCAGCGGCATGGTCATCAGGACATCCCAGCTGATACCTGAGATGCAGGAGGCCTTCTTCCAGTGCCAAGTGTGCTCCCACACGACCCGAGTGGAGATAGACCGTGGCCGTATCGCTGAGCCCTGTGCTTGTGGGCGCTGCCACACTACCCACAGCATGGCGCTGATCCACAACCGCTCCCTCTTCTCTGACAAGCAGATGGTACGTGCCTGCCCTGCATCTTGGGCAGTGCTCTTAGGTATACACTTCCACCTTTGTTACGCTTCTTTGTGAATCCTCAGAATCCCAAATTTAATTTGTTGCTCTTTGGCCTCCAGCTTTTCTTCCTAAATGGCATTCAGTTGCTTCTGTTCCTTCTGTTGACGTATAGGTTTTGTTAGTGGGTTGTGGGCTGGAATTGGAACACATACAGGCTTCCACATTGGGACTCAGTGTCAATTTTACTGCCAGTGAGCAGCAGTTCATTATTAAATACTGACATTCTTAAGAGCTTCAGTCATTTAAGTCAACAGATCAAATTAGCCTACTTTTTGGTTTATTAAGTCACATTTAACCTAAGATGCATTTATAGAAACTATAGAAAGCCATGTTTTTTAGATTAGCTACGTACATCAGAATTATTTGATTAATTCCGTCATTTTGCAACTGTTCTGCTGGTAAAGAATAGATGGAGAAATTTTTCTCCAGTTTTTGTCACAAATTTTCATTGTCTAAGAAATCTGATCTTTTATCTCAATCACAAAGAAAAACATATACCCAGAAAAACAGTCAGAAAATCATTTACTAACTATAACACAAGGATAAGGATGGATTAAGTTTTCTTTGGTCGTATTGTTTAAACAGTTTCTTTCCCAGTGTGGACCACAGGTGAGAGCCAGAGGTACAAAGGCACAGGCCCTGTTGTCAGGATCTTGGTATTCTCAGAATCTGTTAGACTCTCAAACTGGCTTAGGATGAAAGGCCTTCCTAACCATCTCTTCTTATCCCTGCAGCCTTACCCTGCTCCCTGCATTTGTCACTCACATCTGCTACGTGCTCATTTGTGTGTGTATTGTCTGTCCCCCTCTGCTCCTTGAGGGAGGGAACTTTGCTCACTCAGAGTCCCCAGCACATAAAACAGGATCCTGCATGGGGCAGGCACTCAGCAGGTACCTATTATACAGGGTATCTTCTAGCAGTAACTACAAAAGAGAAAATTAGAAATGTAGGCTAACATTTATGCAAAGATATGTATTATAGCCTTACAATGTCAAACAACAAGAATCACTTAAGTTGCCCCCCCAAAGGAACATTCATATAAACAACATCTTTATAAAATGTGTATGAACCTGTCACTTCAAAAGGAGCTTTTTTAAAAAAATTTGTTTTCCAAGCATTCTCTCTTCACTGCTTTTCCTTCAGATCAAACTTCAAGAGTCTCCCGAAGACATGCCTGCAGGGCAGACGCCACATACTGTCATCCTTTTTGCTCACAATGATCTTGTGGACAAGGTTCAGCCTGGGGACAGAGTGAATGTCACAGGTAATAATGTAGGTTGGTACCAACAGGACAGAATCCTGTCCTACTTCCAGTGCCACTTGTGAGTCCTAAGCTCTGTCATGAGCTCACCAGGATGGGGCTAGTTCTGCTGCAGATACAGGTCTTTGAGGCTGTGGGGACTATGCCTCCTTTACCCGCTGTCTTAACCTATAACTGTGGCCCAGCAGTGTGAAATCTTTCAGTTCTTCCCAGACTTGGATTTTGGAACTTTTGTTCCTTGTGGTTACTTCCACCTTCTCGTGTTGGTCTCCCAGAGCTGTATGTCTCTTGTATTGGTAGTGTTGGTACTGTGAGAGAGTAGCTTTACATGAGGCCGGTGTTGGTACGATTTGAACTGTGCCTGCAGCTCAGGGAAATACCGCTAACTCTGGAGTTGTAAATTATTGTCTACTTGTTTCCCAGTTGCACAGCTGAGGGTTGCAGAGGAGAACAAGTCAAAGTGACGTATTTCTATGCTAAGAGACTGAGATGCAGAGCCATATGAGTAGCTGTGGTTCAGTTGTGGTAAAGTGTGGATCCAGGATCCAGATCCTGTCTCTTCCTGCCGAGAATGCCCTGTCCACAACCCTACATGAGAATGGCAGGTCTTTCCGCACTTTTGAGGCACACAGGCAATTATTTTCTCAAGTGTGTGTGTGTGTGTGTGTGTCAGCATTGTTCTTCACTGGGGAACGGAGTCCAGGGAGCCCTGGCTCCTAGGCCCGTGGCCAGTCTGTCTGCTGCTGTTTCAGTGAGTCAGGACCTCTCATCCTGGTTTTTCTCCAACATAGAGGCTAGCAGTAGTTACTAGCAACCTTAAGTTACAAAAGTATATGCGGTAGAAAATTCAAAAGGATGTGTAATGTAGCTGTTAGTGAAAGGAGATGTGCGTTCTCAGTTCTGCCACCAAGTGCTCTGTAACTCTTGGTGAAATTGTTTATTTAACCCAATGTGTTGTTTTCCTCACCTGCAAGGTGGAGTTAATGTGAGGATGACATGTGAAACTATTTAGGGGTAAGGGGATTTGCAAAATGCTGTGGTACCCCTAGGAAGCTAACTGGGCCACTTCATACATAATGAACAAATCCACCCATCCCTTTTCTGATCTGATATGAAGAGTCATCTAGGGTATATTCTAAGAATGTCACATATAAGCTCATTTTTATGTTTTAAATGAGAATTACACTGACCTGTTACATAAACAAAAGACAGTGGTCATGCCATCACAATGAAAGAGTTGATCAGACTTTATCCTTAAAAAAGAGCAGGAAACAGAATCAGCCTAAAACTTGAGACTATCATTTTGAAACCGAATGCAAGCTTGAGAAATCTTTTTGGAGAATGCATGAGTAGATGTGGTTGATGTGCTGTTTGTTTTATCTGTTTTTAAAAAATTTTTCTGAATTATTTGAAGGTTGCTTTTCAATTTGGGGAAATTTTGTTTTTGTTTGTGCTGAGGATTAAACCAAGGGCCCTGCACATGCTAGGCAAGTAGTGTACCACTGAGCCACACCCTCACCCATTAAATTACGTTCTCAGAGGGCTAGGGATTTAGCTCAGTGGTTTCGCCACCTGCTGCGCAAGCGCAAGGACCCGAGTTCAATCCCCGGTACCAAAAAAAATTACATTCTTAGAAAAATGCCCAGTAATACCTTCTATTATTAGCCAAAAATAGTTATTTTTGCTTCACTTTTGACTCAATAGGCTGTCTTACTACCCAGTCTTTAAAAGGTCTGAGTGTTTTGGAGTTCTTTCCAAGGTTTTGGCATGGGATTTTAACATTTTATTGCACTGAGATACCAAGCAGATTCTGTGTGCTCAGCCTGTAGAAGTGAAAGTACTATTTATTGACTATCACCATGAGCCAGGTCTTGTGCTGGAAGCATAGCACTTTCATTTCGCCCCTGAACAGTTGGACGCCATGTAGTTATGCTCAAATAGTTGCCCAGGGCCGCAGCTCACAGGTGAACACAGGCAAACATGACTTTGGGTTTACTGTTCTCTGAAGCCTGTGTTCTTCCCAGCGTGGCCTTTTCCTGCTGCCATCTCCGCACTTGGTCAAAAGAGCTTTACATTTTAGGCCTGAGTCCTCAGCCTGCAAGACTCACAGAGGCAACTGCTCCCTGGGAGCTCAGTGTGGAGCACCTTACCTTGGTGCTGCCTGTGGTCTACACTGGCTCCTGAGCCCCTAGAAGGAAGAAGTGCAAGGGTAAAAGTGTGTCTTGTGGTTGTGCCCTCAGGCATCTATCGAGCAGTACCTATTCGAGTCAATCCGAGAGTGAGTAATGTGAAGTCTGTCTACAAAACCCACATCGATGTCATTCATTATCGGAAAACGGATGCCAAACGGCTCCATGGTCTTGATGAAGAAGCTGAACAGAAATTGTTTTCAGAGAAACGTGTGGAATTCCTTAAGGAACTTTCTAGGAAACCAGATATTTATGAGAGACTCGCTTCGGCCTTGGCTCCTAGCATTTATGAACATGAAGATATAAAAAAGGTAACAATTGGTTTTTTAACTTGGGATTGAGATTTACAGTTCTTTAGGATCAAGTAGTATAAACATCCATTCCCCAATTTGCTGCTGTCCACCCAAAGATAAGAGCTCTTGCATGTTTGCCAGAGCAAGGTGGTCGTGCACCAGGCTTTGGTCATTGGTTAAGAGTGACAGTGTTCGCTGTGCGTGGTGGCACATCCTTATAGTCCCAGCACTCAGGAGGCCAAGGCTGGAGGATTTCTGCGAGTTTAGGGCCATCCTGGGCTACGTAGTGAGTTTAAGGCCTGCTTAAACTACGTAGCGAGACCCTGTCTCAAAAAATAGAGTTACAGTGTTACTGTCCCTTTATTCATCCCGCACAGAACTCATGTTTGCAGACATAAGAGGCCACACAGAATAGGGAGTTCTATGAGCAGAGTTCTGGCATGATGTGTACATTTTAATCAGCTAGTGATAATTTAAAGTAATCAAAGCACTTTTGCATTTTTTTTTTAATATACCTTCAACTCCTAGAGCTAGAGAGGTACCTCTAAAGTTTAAGATAAATCTGCAGCAGTAAATGACTATTTAGATGCATTTATGTTTGTTTTTAGGGAATCTTGCTTCAGCTCTTTGGTGGAACACGGAAGGATTTCAGTCACACAGGAAGGGGTAAATTTCGTGCGGAGATCAACATCCTGCTCTGCGGTGACCCTGGCACCAGCAAGTCCCAGCTGCTGCAGTATGTGTATAACCTGGTCCCCAGGGGCCAGTACACATCTGGGAAGGGCTCCAGCGCAGTAGGTCTCACTGCGTATGTAATGAAAGACCCTGAGACCAGGCAGCTAGTCCTGCAGACAGGTGCTCTTGTCCTCAGTGACAATGGCATCTGCTGTATCGACGAGTTTGACAAAATGAATGAAAGTACAAGGTCAGTGCTGCACGAAGTCATGGAGCAGCAGACTCTCTCCATTGCAAAGGTGAGTCATGGCCCCCACTGTGAAGGCAGACATGCCTAGCTGTGAGGGTCCTTGAAATGAAGCATCAGTGGAGTCCTTCAGCATTGCCCTGGCTCTAATTGGGAAACTGATAAGTACTTTAACACATGAGATTTTAGTTCACTCTCTCTACAAGTTAATCTCTCACCTTTTTTGTTCTAACCCACTAAGGTTTGGTATTCATAGGACTTGGTGCCAAAGCCACACAAGTGTTTTGCTTTCTAAGGCATGACTATAGCATACACTCAGTCTTAGGCATGAATCAGAAGACAAGTCATGTCCACAGTGCTGTGGAAATCAGTAAAAATGATGAGGCTGTTGCGTAGCAGAATGCAGCAGAGCAAATGAAATTTAGCTAATCAGGCAAAGATGGCTCCTCTGCCAGTGTCAGGGTGAGGCTTCTAACTACAGTTTTCTCTTACAGGCTGGGATCATCTGTCAGCTCAATGCACGCACCTCTGTTCTGGCAGCAGCAAATCCTGTTGAGTCTCAGTGGAATCCAAAAAAAACAACCATTGAAAACATCCAGCTACCTCACACGTTGTTGTCAAGGTATTAAAACATTTTTATAAAACAAGTATTTCTACTTGCTTATTTGTAGAATATTCAGCATGAGATTAAGAAGGAAATACTAAGATTCAGCAACTGTTAACAGAATTTCGTCCCTCTAACATAGTGTTTCAAATTTGATTTGTCAGGGCTATTGTTGGCAAGGATTCTGTATTCTCTGCCCAACTATGGGTAGCATTTTAACATTCTTTTCTTTTTGAAGCCATTGGGTCGTTCCATTTAGGCATCTTTTTCAGATGATGGTCATTCACTATTATCTCAGCCAGAAAGTTACTATTGAGAATCAATAAAGTACAGAGAACCAGTGACTAAAGTAGCTAAGGGTCTGAAGAATGAGTTTTGTTAAAGCTTGTATCATATGATCCATGCTTTCTCAGCCTTGCTACTCCAAAAGTACATGTATTTTATAAATGGATTTTAGATTTTATTTGACTTTTTTAACCAAATACGGACCACCACCACCCCCAGCCTCAAAACAGTTGAAGGTATTTTCATTCAGATCTTCCAGTCTTCTATATTAATAGTAACATTTCTCTGAGGGCAGTTTTACTTCTTGACTCAGACATTGCCTGGCCAGGGATAAGAACAGGGACAGCATGGGATGAGTTTGACCAACCTTAAGCCCTTTGGGGGACAGGAAACTCTTCTTCCTGGGTGGCCGTAACAAAGCACACATTTACCACAGTCTATAGTGGCCAAGCAATCTTTTAAGTTCTATTTGTAGGTATGAAGGTGTCTCAGCTAGGAAGACATATTTTTTTTCTCCATTTTCTCAGGTTTGATCTGATCTTCCTCATGCTAGACCCTCAGGATGAGGCATACGACAGGCGTCTGGCTCACCACCTGGTCTCGCTGTACTACCAGAGTGAGGAGCAGGTGGAGGAGGAGTTCTTGGACATGGCGGTGCTAAAGGACTACATCGCTTATGCTCACAGCACCATCATGCCCAGGCTCAGCGAGGAGGCCAGCCAGGCTCTTATTGAGGTAACCAGGCCTGAGAAAAGCTTCTACTGAGCCTGTCATCAAAAGCATTGTTGGAACTAGCAGGCCATCCCCTTTAAACCATTATTTTATTAAGAGTAACAGCTGAGTGTGGTGATGCACACCTGTAATCCCAGCACTCAGGAATCTAAGGCAAGAATATCACAAGTTCAAGGCCAGGCTGGACTAGTCAGTTCAAGCCTGAACTATGTAGTGAGAGCCTGTCTCAAAAAAAAAAAAAAATAAAGGATAAAAGCATGGTAATTACCTAATTCTCTTTTATAAGATTATTATTATCAAACGTTGTAAAAGGCAAAGAATTATTTTGATAGTATGCACACTTTTTACATTTAAATACTTATTTAAATATAAGAATCATAAATTTAAGAGCAGAAGACAGTTCAAATACAGATGATGACACTTAAGAACTTCATAACTGAACAAGTCATCCAATTTTTCTAAGCTTCCATTTGCTTATTTTTAAAAATTAAAATGACCTGAAAGTATTGTAGGCTCACTTTTTCAGTCTCCTTGTACGTGGGCAGTCGTGCATAAATGGCACAATTTAGGTTATTTCAGGGTTCTGATGTTAAGAAGGTTCCTGGTGTTTGGTGGGCTCTACATCCTGAGTTACCAAAAATGCTCAGACGAAGGGTACAACTGATATAATTTTCCATTTGTATCAAATTCTTAAAACTTGATAATGAAATAAAAGTATGTCGTTATATATGAAAGTAATGCAGCTTACCTTTGTAACATTATCCTAGTAACCCTGTACATGTTTCATTAAACATCCCTACCCAGGGTGTATATCAGAATTGGGGCGTAAGTACCTTTTTTCAGATAGGCCTCCTAATTCATCCTCCACTATTCTCACCTACTCCTCATTCCATGAGCTGTGCCCTCTTCCTCTGCTTCATTATTCAGAGCTATGTCAGGCATCACCTTCTGCGAGAAGTCTTCCTAAATACATCCCATTTAGCATATTTCCAACCATAGCTGCACAATAATAGTGGAGTCCTCCAGGGTTCCCATGTTCTGTGCGTGCCCACAAGTGTGTCAGTCTCCACCGCTTGATGAGCTCCAAGGTCTAGATCTGACCTGTGATTTCCCCCAGTTCCTTCATGAGGGAGCCAGGCAGGACTTCAGTGTATTTAACAGAACCCTAACTGTTCCAGGTTCAACCACAAAGCCAAGATTCTTGTCAGCAAGGGTTTTGCTTTCTTCTCTACCTGCGCTAGGCTTATGTGGACATGAGGAAGATTGGTAGTAGCCGAGGAATGGTTTCTGCATACCCTCGACAGCTGGAGTCATTAATTCGTTTAGCAGAAGCCCATGCTAAAGTACGATTTTCACACAAAGTTGAAGCAATTGATGTGGAAGAGGCAAAACGCCTCCACAGGGAGGCTCTGAAGCAATCTGCAACTGACCCCCGGACTGGCATTGTGGACATATCTATTCTTACTACAGGTTGGTTACTTTCAACAAAAAGGCTTTTGGAAATTTAGTGTCTTAAGTAGTTGATATTCCAGATGTCAGCCAATGGTTAAATCACAGTTCTTCACCGTTTTGGATCAGAGCCCCTTTGATAATCTGATGAAAGTTGTCCCACCCATTTGCTAATCAAAATATAAAATGCAGCACAGATTAATATGCTAGGGGATTCTGGCTTTGCTGTCTTGGCTCCTGATAACCCATTTAAGAGAAGTAAAGGTGGACACAATGGCGTGCAGCTATAGTCCCTACTACTTGAGAAGCTGAGATGGGAGAATCATTTGAGTCTAGGAGTTCAAGGCCAACCTGGGTAACATTGCAAGACCTAATCTTTTTTTTAAAAAGGTTTTGGTTTTATTTTTGAGGGAGCTGAGACAGGGCCTTGCTGTGTAATTCAGGCTGACCCTTGAACTCACTGTGTAGCCCATGTTGGCTTCAGACTTGCTGCAGTCCTCTTGCCTCAGCCTCCCCAGTGCTGAGATAACAAGCATGCCGTTGTGCCCAACTAGCAGTTCTTTTTTTTTTTATAATTAGAAGACATCCTTTACTCTAGAATCATAAAAAAATTCTTTTGTGCTCTCCTTTAGTGTATTTATGGTTGCATTTTACCTATAAATATTTTACTTTTCTAGAATTTATCCCAATATAAGGTATCATGTATCAATAAATTTAACTTTTTCAGGTGGTTAGCTTGTTGTCTTAGTACTATGTATTGGCTAGTTTTTTTTCTCTAATGACTTAAAAGGCTATTTTTAAATCACATATTAAATTCTTGGGTATGTTGATCTATTTCTAGACTTTCTATTCTGTTTCATTACTTTAGTGTTACTATCTTAGTTACTATCTTGTTCCTGGGACAAAATACCTGAAACCCACAAGTTAAAGAAGGAAAAGTTTCTTTTGGCTCACAGTTTTAGAGGTTTCAGTCCATAGTCAGCTGGCTCCAAGGCAGGGTGGCATGGCAGAGGGACCTGGCAGGGGAGAAGGAGTTCACAGTGGCATGGCAGGTAGGAAACCAGCAGTTCATTTTTAATAAGCAGTGACTGTACTTGTTACACAGATTATGCAGACTGTCTTTCAGTGGAAAGTAGTAGCCACTGGTATATAGAAAATTTGCAACAGCAGAGTGTTCTGACATTCAGCACCTGTCCCCTTTCTGGACAGTTACTACTGGAGGAATATTTATGGGAATTTGAAACATTTCACTTCCTAACTAAAGAAATGTTTTTATTGATTTCTAATATATTTTTGTTGATTTCTTTTGAAATCAGGAATGAGTGCCACCTCTCGGAAACGGAAACAAGAATTAGCTGAAGCATTGAAGAAACTTATTTTATCTAAAGGCAAAACACCAGCTCTAAAATACCAGCAACTTTTTGAAGATATTCGGGGACAATCTGACATAGTAAGTGTTTATATGTTTATAGGATTTTTCTCTTACCCCTTAATATTGCTTTTGGATTTTCTTGTTTGTTTGTTTCTGTGTTTATTGTTCAAATAATAATTGTAGGTAAGAATAAAGAAGAGTAAGATCATCCTTAAACCCATCATCAAGAAATAATTACTTTTTTTTGTTTGTAGCACTGAGGATTAAACCCAGTACTTTTGCACTGATTACAGCCCCAGTCCATTTTTTATTTATTTATTTTTATTTTTTTCTGGTACTGGGGATTGAACTCAGGACCTTGCGCATCCACGGCAGGCTCAGTGCCACTGAGCTAAATCCCCAGCCCTTGTTTTTAATTTTTTATTTTGAAATCTTCCTCTCTCAGCCTGCCAGAGTGTTGGGATTATAGGGATGAGCCACCATGCCCAGTTGTTTTTGCTTGTTTATTTGCCTTTGTGTGTTTGTTTGAGACTGAGTCTCATTAGGCAGTTCAGGCTGTCCTTAACTCCCTACATAGCTCAGGCTGGCCTCAAACTCACAGTGATCTCTTTGTCCCAGCCTCCCGAGTGCTGGATTATAGACGTGTGTCCCCACGCCCAGCAACTATGCCCAGTTATAACTTGAATTTTGTTATATTCTTTCAGAATTTTTCTACATGTACAAATTTGTTTTAGGGATGAAATATTTGGGTTCCCTTTTGCAAATAACTAAGGTTGAATTATTTTTTTTTTTTTTGGCACCGGAGATTGAACTCAGGACCTTGTGCTTGCGAGACAGGTGGCAGCAGCACTAAGCTAAATCCCCAGCCCCTAAGGTTGAATTTTTCCACGAAAAGAACTACACAGGTTAAAAGCACTCTGACCGTTTTTGTTTCCTTTTACATCCCTTCACTTATTGTCCCTCACTGCATTGGTACTGTGAGGGTAGAGCTGAGTAGTGACGCAGACCATACGGATGCCAAACCTACATTATTTATCGCTTGGTACTTTGAGGAATGTTTGCCACCTCTGATTGAAGGTGTAAGAAATGTGTACAACTACCAGTAAGAGCGAGAGAGAGGTTCTGGGTGGTGCTTTAACGTTCGAATTAGTGTGTCTGTAACAATTAAGGGGGAATTTGACATACGAAGTATTTATTTTCCTTCTCTTCACTAAAGGCAATTACCAAAGATATGTTTGAAGAAGCCCTGCGTGCCTTGGCTGATGACGACTTCTTAACAGTGACTGGGAAAACTGTCCGCTTGCTCTAAGGCTGCTCTGAGCTGTGCTGCTCCTGGCACCTGCCTGTGCATGTGAGCAGCCTACAGGTGGTCAGTGGCCACTGCTGCAAATAGATTCTGAAAAGTGTTTTTCAGCTCCATAAGTTTCTAACCTGAGTTCAATTTTTTGAGTAAGGGTATGTTTTCATTTTTTAACATTTTAAATAAAACTCCTGTGCCAATTTATAAACATATACAGCAGAGATTGTTTTCCTGAAGTGCTGTCTTTTAGCAGCAGGGCCTTTTATTTGTATGTGTGCACAGAGAACAGCATGTCAGTCTTTGGACAGGTGGTCTGAGTTTTGCTGGACATGGTAATGGCAGAACCATCAGTGAGTGTGCTTGAGGGTTTTGCAATGAGAGAGAACAGAATGTGGCCAGGGTTTGCCATCTAGTGTGACGTGAGAAAGGGCTAGAGCCTTTGTCCCTTTTTAGGCACTTGAATATACTTCTATTTAGAAGTTTTTTCTTGTGGCTACTATTAGATCAGGAATGTGTGATTGGAAATGATTAGATTCCAGATTAACTTCTGCTTTACCTTTATGTGTAAAACTTTACTAAATAAATGATAGAATAAAAAATAGTACTTGTCTATCTTGCTCTGTTTTTTGCTACGAAAAAAGCATTGCTAAATATTACCTTCATGGCCAGGCACGGTGGCACACATCTGTAACCTCAGCACTTGGGAGTCTGAGGCAGGAGGATCGCTGTGAGTTCGGGGCCACCCGTATCTCAAACAAAAAAAAGATAAAGATAAATACTACATTAATGGGAATTCATAGTGATAAATGCATCATAGATGAAAAGAAATCAAACTATGAATTTCATTTTATTCAAATATTAACTAAATCTTAGCAGTATTAAAAAACACTGTAGCCTGAAATTTGATATGTAAATGCTACCATTATAAATAATCCCTAAAACAGTTATGAGTTAGACCTTTTTTAATGACTTAGAATCAACGCTTATTAACAGAGAGTCCATAGGAAATGGCAGCTCTAATCAGTATTTAAATAATATTGAAATGTTTGCATTTGAATGATTGGGGGGATTGGTTTTTGTATGTTTTTGTTTTACAGTACTTGGAATTAAACCCAGAGCCTTCTTGTACCCCCAAACTTCTTTTTTTCTTTTTCTTTTTTGGTTTTGTTTTGGAGACAGAGTCTTTGTAATTCAGGCTGACCTTGACCTTGAACTCACTATGTAGCCTTGGCTGGCCTTGAACTCACAAGTGTTCCTCCTGCCTCATCCTTGTGAGTAATGGGATTACAGATGTGCACCACCATGCCTCACAGGAGCCTGATCTTTAGGCCACCTTTGCACTTGGCACTGACAAACTGAACAGCACACAACTCCATTATGTAAGCTTTTGGGGACAAAGGCACCTAAAGGTGATGGGAAACATGTCCTACAGCCACAGTAAGAAGTAGCTCTAGACTTTAAACTGCTTACCATTTAAGGTAACCAAAAAAAATTTTTTTTAAAAGGACCCTACTTTAAAGCCAGGTGTGATGGTGCACTCCTGTAATCCCAGCACTTGAGAGGCTGAGGCAGGAGGACAGCTGTGAATTCAAGGCCAGCCTAAACTACATAGTAAAACCTATCTCAGAAAACCTAAAAAAAAAAAACATTCCCACCACTTAGGTGGCCATAAATTAAGATGTCATAAAGTTCAGAAGCTGATTGCCTGACACAATTGTAGAATTGAATTAGCCTAGGAAATAAAAACAGGTTGTTTTTCCAAGTCAGTTTCTCAGCCTGCAGTAGTGGCTAGAAGATTGGAAGCTTATCTCCCATAGTCTCTGACGTTGCCTGAGATACTATATTTCCCCTCTAAAGTTTATATATTGGTAATATTTATTTGCCGAGCATGATGATGCATGCCTGTAATCCTAGCACTTAGGAGACAAGCAGGAGGATTGCCATGAGTTAGAGGCCAGCCTGAACTACACAGCGAGACCATATCTCAAAAAAAAAAACCCCAAAATATATTGGTAATGTTTTTCTAAGCTTTATAATTTAATGCGAAGGTGAAGGTATTTATGACATGTAGACAGATTGCACAATTTTGTTTTAATGGAATTTTAGTTGAATGAAATTAATGTGTCCTGTGGCTGGCAGGTTTCATAGTGAGTCTCAGTTTATTCAGTAAATCTCTCTTAGTATCTATAATCTGCCCATTTAAGAGATCTGTAGGTCTTTTTTTTTTGGTACCGGGGATCGAACTCAAGACCTTGCGCTTGTGATGCAGGCAGCAGAACCACTGAGCTAAATCCCCGGCCGGAAAACGTCTGGGTGTTGTGCTGAGGGTTTTTTTGTGTGTGGTTTTTTTTTTGGTACTGGGGATCAAACTCGGGACCTTGTACTTTGGAGGCAGACGCCGGAACCACTGACCTAAATCCCTGGCCCTGTAGGTCTTTTGAAAGCAGGGGTAGTTAGTGCAGTGCCTGGGGCTGGATGATCGTGATGTATTTGTGGAGAGAATTTGTTCTATGAGGGGAGAGTGAGAGTATGTCTTACAATCGATATCCCAGGCTGTGGTGTTGTGGAACAAAAGGAGGCCTTTAAATTTCAGCTGTGTTCGCTAAACTTTGCTCCCTGAGGGGGAATGCCTCATATCTCATGGAGCACACCGTACCCCTCGGGTGTCAAGGGAAAAAGGATTGGGAGCGTTGCTGTGGGGTGAAGAGCATCTTCACGTCTGTGTAATGCAGTTGATGCTATGAAGATTAAGAGCACCGAGGTGAAACTGCCCAAGTTCAAATCCCACTGACAGCTCACTGAAGTGTGCAATGCCTAGCATAGGGACTGGCATGCCTTGGGTGCTTGGCATTAGCTCTTGTTGCTGTGGACAGAAATGAGAGTATGGGTTCTTCTAAGATAATAAAATAGTAGGTTAATTTCCATGTATATTTTTTTAAACTCTAAAATCCAGTGTCATTCCATTTGTATTTTTCCCTCTGATATTGACCCTGCTTTACAAACAGTGCAAGAATAGTTTAATTCTCACATACTTTGTTAACATTTTATCAAATTTGTTTTAATCATTTTCTATAATTTTTTAATAATTTGAGGGTAAGTCGAAGCTAGGTGATCTTTGACATCCAAATACTTTATAAAAACAAATGATATTACCTTACATAACCACAAACCAATTTCATAACAAAAACAACACTTTTACCTAATTTAAAGACCCAAATCTCACCAATTATCTTAGTAATGTTCTTTATAACCAAAATTAAAACATTTATGTTTCTGAATCACAAGATGCATTTAGTTTTCATGTTTCTTTAAATTCCTTCAAACTTGAGCATTGCTCAGTCTTATTTTTTATGATCTTGCTTTTTTTTTTTTTTTTTTTTTGAGACAGGCTACCAATCAGCTTCCCAAGTGCTAGAGTTACAGGCAGGCACCAGCAGCCCTGCTACCTTGACATTTTGTAATACAGGCCAGTTCTTGTATAAAATACCCCTCCGTTTTGGGTTGTCTGATGCCTTATGAAGGTTCTTAATGCACGATCTGATGGAAGAGATGCTGTGTCCTTAGTGCTTTGCCCCTTTACTGGAGGCCTTATCCCTCAGATCCCTGGGTAAACTTATGGGTCTTAACTCATTTCCTGCTGCTATAATAGAATGCCTGAGACTGGATAATTAATAAAGAAAAGAGGTTGCTTTGGGCTCACAGTTCTGAAAGTAGAGGAGTTCACGATTGGGAGGCCACATGTGGTAAGGGCCTCCTAATGTATCATAGCACAGTGGATGGCATCACATTGCAGGGATGCAGAGAATGGTGAGCTGATGCATCCAGAGAGAAGCAAGGACAAGCCAAGGAGGCTGAACTCACTGTAACACTGTTCTTGCAGTAACTAATCCGGCTTTGCCAGAGTAAGAGCTCACTCCTGTCAGAGCATTCATCTACTCATGAGAGCTCTCCCCTCATGACCCAAACACCTGCCACTAGGCCCTGCCTGGACACTGCCACGTGGGGACTAAGCTTCAATGTGAATTTTGGTGGGGACAAACCATATTCAAACAATAGCAGTGTTTGCTAGTTTTCTGCAATATACATTTTTTTTTTTTTGGTACCAAAGATCAAACTCGGGACCTTGGGCTTCCAAGGCAGGCGGTAGGCAGAACCACTGAGCTAAATCCCCGACCCATTCCTGCAATATAAATTACAATTTTTCCTTTGTAATTAATAAGTATCTTATGAGGAACTACTCAGACCATGTAAATATCCGATTTCTCATCAAGTGTTGATAACAAGTAGCACACATGTCCTTTATGCCCCTAAATACTAGGATTAGTCTTGTTTTGAACTAGAGTCTCACTAAGTTGCCTAGGTTAGGCTTGAACTGGTGATCTTCCTGGTTCATCTCAGAGTACTATGATTTATCGGAGTGCTACACTATACCACATGCAGCTTTTAAATTTTTTTTCATTTTAACTTTGTGTGTGTGTGTGTGTGTGTGTGGAATCGGGGATTGAAGCCAGGTCCTTGTCCTTGCCAGGTAGGCGGGGTGCCATTTAACTTTTTTTTTTTTGAGACAAGTGTCTTGCTAAATTTTCCAGGCTGGCCTCAAACTCAGGGTCATCCTGCCTCAGCCTCCTGAATAGCTAGGATTACAGTCATGCATCACCATGCCCGGATTTTTTGTTCTTTTTCTTTTTTCCAGGGGTGAGGGTCACAGGGTTGTCCTCTGTAGTTCAGATTGGCCTTGAACTCACTACATAGCCCAGGCTGGCTTTGAACTCACAGTGATTCTCCTGCCTCAGCCTCCCAAGGGCTAGAATTACAGGTGTTTGTCGCCATGCCTGGCTTCTTTGTTCATCTCTCAGTTGGGTTGCTTGGTCTGAATTTTGTTGTTTATTTGCAGGAATTCTTTTATTCTAGATATCAGCCTCATTAGCTGCACAGTTTGTAAGTACTATATTCCCCCCTATTCCACAGGCCACCTTTCCACTCTGTTGATTGTATTCTCATATGCCGAAGTTAAGTGTTGATGTAATCCAACATATCTGTTTCTTATTTTATGGCCTTTGCTTTTTGGTGTCTTCTTATTTTACTTTAATGTATCTTTGAAATCTATCAATCTTAGTAAATAAGGAGTTTATTTTTTAAGACTGCATACTCTGTTTTAAGAATGTACTATAATTTAATGAGTCACCTACTGATAGACGGTAGGTTGTCCTTCTTTAGTACAGTGTTTCTGGGAATAATTTTGCACACATATCCTCACATGTGAATACATCTGTACCATAGCTTCCTAGCAATAAAATTGCTGGACTAAGGGTCATTTGCATTTGTGATTTTTGTAGACATCGCCCAATTTCTCTCTTTAGGAATTGTAACAATCCACATTCATCAATATCATATGAAGCTATTTCCCCACTCACTCTCCAGCACAGTGTGTAATTAAACTTTTAGATCTTGGGAAATTGTTATTGTAGGCTAGTTACAATTTATATTTATTGTAAGTGAGTACATGTATCTTTTAAAATTGTATTTCCTGTCCTGTAAACTGGCTATCCATATTCTTTGTCTACTTTTCTGTTAGGATATTATAATTTTTTTTTTTTTTTT